ACGCAAGTGCAGACGCTTTCCACGCGCGGTTCCACGCGTCCATCTGCTGCTCCCGCCGCCCCCTCTCATGTCCGGGCACCGACCACACCGGTCAGTCATGAACTGTCCACCAGGTTGTCTGGCTCCCCGTGAAGCTGTGACCGTTTGGGGGACAGGCGCCCATTCCGGCCCAGCGCAGCTGATGGGCTGGACGTGTGTGGCGGTCAGAGTGTGAAGTGGACACACGTGTTTCCACGAACTGCACGCTGTCTCGCAGTTACGCCGGGACCTCGATCAGAGCGAGCCTCACCTTCAACCAGGGCTTCAAGCCTGGGAGGAACATGCGTCGCAAACTCTCGGCGGTCTTGCGGCTGAAGTGCCAAGGGCTCTTCCTGGACCTGCAGGTGTGCGGGTTGCCCGTGGGCGGCTGGGGCTGCAGAGCGGAGGGCAGCTGACGTCACCGGAAGGTCTGCGCGCGCTTCGCAGATCCTGGGGGGGCACGTGTGTCTGTTCCCGTGTGCGGGCGCGTGCACGTGTGTGGGGCGCATCAGGCATCACATACGTGTGCACTCTCAAGTTCACGTGTGTGTGAACGAGTGTGCCTGCGAGTATGTGCAGGTGTGTAGTGTGTGGGTATGCGTCCCTGTGCCTGTGCCTGTGTGTGCAGGTGTGCACTGTGTGGGTGAGTGTGCGTGTGTGTGTCCAGGGCCCCCGGCCCTCACCCTGCCGCGTGGCTGCCCCGCCATCCTCGCCCGGGCCCCTCCTCACAGGCCGTAGGGCTCAGGACCGCTGTGGCCTCAGCGCTGGAGCCGCGGGGCCCAGGCCGTCATCCAGCCAGGCTGGGCTCTCCCCCTTGTCCTTCCCGCAGGCCTGACTCCACCGCAGCTGCTGAGGGGCCCCAGTGAGGACCTGGCGGGTTTCACGGGAGAGACTGATGGATTCTTACTGAGATGGTCCTTTTTTTCGTTCCGTTTGATGGGGCAATAAAGCAAAAGACAAACTCAAACACCAGAGGTATTGCCAACATTGCTTTTTCTTATGACTCCAGGTGAACAGTCTTGAGACAGTTTTCACAAACGTTTACAAGATATTCCTGCTGCAGGCCTACAGGTGGGTCCACGGGTGGCTGCTCCACGAGGGAGGCGACGGCTCCGCCCCGGGGAGCGCGCTGCCCCCGGGTCCGTGAGGAAGCAGCGTGTGCGTCTCCGCGGCGGAACCGCCTCTCCGCGGAGCCCTCAGCAGCTCTGGAGGCGCTGCTCCCAGGCACCAGATGGTGCTGGGAGGCCCGAGCGGCCGGGACGGCCCGAGTCCCCGCGGCGGGAGGGGCTGGCGGGAGGAGGGTGGCCGCGGGGCAGGGGCGGGTAGGCGAGCAGAGGGCCAGTCAGTGCACAGGAGGCGTGTGTGGTCCCGAACACTCAGGCGCCCCCGGAAGGGACGGCGGGATGCGGCTCCCGATCATTCCAGCCCCTCTTCCGGAACGTTCCCTGCTCTCGGGTGGCTCTGCGGTCCCCCTCCAAGAACCAGGGCCGGGCAGGTGATCGTGGAGTCCGCTGCTTGTCCACCTTGGGGAGGCGGACCCCGTCCTTCACTCACCGCGCCGGCTGGCCTCGGGGACCCAGAGCCAGGCTTGCCGCCCGTGGTCTCCAGGCAGCCTGGGGAGGCTGGCCCCTGACAGAGCTGACATCCCCAGGTTCCACGCGTGTGTACTGCAGCTCCCGTTTAATCAGCCAGTCGGGAGGAACCCCTCATTTTTCCTCCGGGTCATCTCTGACACCTCGTCCCGCTGCCACGCCCTCCTGAGAGCCAGGAACGCAGGTGTGCACAGGCGACCAGGGCATGGCTGGCGGGCCGAGGGGTCGCCCGGGGCGCTGGGCATCGGGGTCACGCCCACACGCTCCGTCCTGTGCCCGTCCCGGGTCCCTCGTGTGCCGCGGCCACTGCAGCACCTGCCTCTCCAGCAGCCACGGCGGAGATGGGGCGTCGGGGCGCCTTTAACCTGCTAGCAGCTCGCCGCCCTCTGCCACGTGACTGGAGAGTGACGTGGTGCTTGGGGGCCAGCTGGTGGCCCTCCTCCCCTGGGGCTCTGGGCGCTTGCGTCAGTCCAGGCCAGGGTCCGCAGGAGGCCCTGGGCCACCCCTGCCCACCTCAGCGAGGGGCACCCACGGCAGCCGCGCGCCCTCCCGCTTTGGGTTCACCGCTCCTTGGCCCGGCCTCCTGGGGGGCGTCCCCACCTGAACGCTCCCACTGCAGCCCCTGTGTCTGCACCTCCGGCCTCGTCCTGGGCGTTCCCGATCTGTCTGAGGTTCAGGCCGTGCGTGTCTCTGAGGTCCTGGGTGTAACAGACTTGGCTCTTCGTCACGTCTGTTTGTGGAGGTTTCTTGGAGAAGTTGAAGAAAACGTCTCAGTTTTCAGAATTCCTTGGTGCTCGTGTCGGGTGGCCCCTGAAATGAAGTGGCCAGTCACCCCCCCCCCCGCCGCCCCCAACACCTCACTCATGCCATCAGCCTGGAGGGACCCCGGCAGGAGGGCACCGTCTGGGGCCCCTGGTATCCCCAGGGAGGAACGCTGCGGCGGGGCCAGCGGAGCCTCAGCCTCTCCTCGTGTCCCCCAGGGATGTCACTGGGGGCCAAGGGCGCCTCCGGCCCGTTTCCTTCCGAGGCCGCGCAGTGGCTCTGCCTGCACGCCTTTCTGCTCAAGCTAGCTCGTCACCGCGTCACCTACAGCTGTCTTCTGGGGGCGCTGCGGACAGGTAGGCGCGGGTGGAGTGCCAGGCGCCCCTTCGTGAGGTGCGGGCCCTGCCCTCCGGTGCTGGGGCCCCTCCGTATCTGAGGGGCAGGTGGGCGGGTCTCAGAGCCCCCAGGTGAGGGTGCGGGTGCCCCGAGGGTTACAGGCCCCCTCCCTCGTCCAGGGGCCTGGCATGACCACCCGGGTCTCGCCACCTCTCCACCCCGCCCCGGGTCCTCGTCCTCCGTCTCCCCTGCAGCCCCCCACCTGCGTGTCCTTCCTCGCACCCCCGACCCAGATCCCCCTCGGGCCTCTGCCGGACAGTCCCCGTGCCCCCGGCAGGGGAGGGGTGCTTGCCCCCTCCTGAGGTGCCCACCCCAATCCCGCCTGCACGCAGGGTGCTTGGCAGTGTAAGTGCCTGCGGGCCCCGGGGAAGGGCGGTCTCTGGTTTCTCCGGGGCGTAGGTGGGGGTTTGGTGGCCTGACTTCAGTCGCTGCCTTGTAGCCAGAGCCCGACTGTGCCGGCGGCTCCCGAGGGCCACTCTGGCCGCCCTGGAGGCAGCAGCCGACCCGGCCCTGACCGCAGACTTTAAGACCATCTTGGACTGACGGCAGCCCTGCCCACAGACTGGGCTGGGCTGGGCTCCGGAGCCCGGTGGGAGGGGGCAGCTCCCAAGTCCTCAGGGAAGCAGGGCCCGCGCGCCGTGGCCGTCCCGTGACGGGGTCCGTTCTCCAGCCGCTGACCACCGGGAAGCGGCAGGTGGGAGAGCCGGTCATCGGGCGGCAGGCGTCTGGACGGGGCTGGGGGGCCCTTTGTCACCCCCTTCCCCTCGCTGCAGGGGCTGCCCCGGTCAGGAGCGAGGGCACGGGGCGGCACGTGGGGCTGAGTGGTGGGCGTGGGCTCCTTCCTGCTGACCTGTGCAGTCAGTGCCCAGCCCAGCCGTTCACACCCACCTCGGGAGCAGCGCCTCTGCCGGCTGCCTCCGCGGTTCACGCCCCGTGGCGCTTTCCCCAGAAGCCAAGGGCCCGGTCAGCTGTTTGAGGCCCGGTTCCACCCGGCCCCGCCCCTGCTTCCGAGCCCGCCTGTCCTTACGCTCTGCACCCGCCCGCGCCCCCATCTCTGGGCCCTCCCCGCTGGTCCCCTCTCAGCACACGGCCCAGGTCGTCCTGATTGCACTCCTGCACCACCTCCTGCCCCCCCGCCCTGTCACCCCAGTGAAAGGAGCCTTTGCTGATTGGTTTCACAGCTTACGACTGTTCTCTGAGTTTGTATTAAAACGCGTACTAGTGAGGTCTGTGTTCTGTAATTACAAACACGTGCACCTGTTGGGGTGCGAGAGCCACGTGGGTTCTCGGCCTGGAGGGGGCTTCCTGGTGCGGGGGATGTGGAGGGAGGGGCAGGTGGCTCAGAGAGGGTGCTCCCATGGGGCCCGGCCCAGCACCCGCCACTGCTGCAGCCAGCTCTGGCCAAGCTCCGTGGACACGTGGGAGAGGACGGACAAGAAAGGTCTGAGGTCCAGGACATCGGGATTCCTCCTGAGCATGTTTCTCCTCTGCCCGTTACCTTCTCAGTGGACCGTGGGATTCCCCTCCTTCCCGCGGGCTCTGTGGAGTGAGCAGCGAGGGCCGTGCACACGCGGGTCCCAGTCTGGCGCCATCCCTCCCCCAGAGTGCTTGTCTCCTCGCCTGTCGCCGCGTGCTGGACCTGGGCAGGTGGGCGTGCTAAGGCAGGCAGTCCCTGGCTGTCCACCCCGTCTGCCCCCCTCTGTCATCTGGGTGGCCTGCGTGCTGACCGCGGTGGGGCTCCTTTGGTCACGTGCTGTCACATCCGCTTAGCCGGGCTCGGGCACAGCACCTGGGGAAGAGCACGATAGGCCTGGGAACGGGGCCTTCCGGAAGTGGGGGGAGCTGCTCGGGTCCCCGAGGGTAAGGCCTTTACGGGAGTCTTCCTTATGCACGGGGGCCTCCCTGCACTGCCAGGGCATATGGGGCTCTGCTCAAGGTCAAGGGTTGTGCCTCGGGGGGCCGTGTGGAGGACCCGGGGAGAACGGTGGTCAGCCCCTGACCGGCCATGGCCAAGTGCCCCAGAGAGCTTGTCCAGGGAGCCCAGGGGCTTGGAGGCAAGGGGCAGATTTCAACCTGGGCTCCCTGGTGTGGGGTTGAACCACACAGATGCCACCCCTGGTCCCCTGGGGGGGGGTAGACCACACAGGTGCTGCCTCCGTGATCCCCTGGGGGGTGGACCACACAGATGCCACCCACACACACACACACACACACGTTTCCGGCCCAGCAGGTCTGGGAATGTGAATCAAATTATTTCCAGGTGGTATTGGTGCTGCTGGGGGGCAGGGAAGTTGGAGGCTGGTCTGGGGGCTGTCTTCCATGCCGTGACCCCCCCGGGGTGGAGCTGACACAGGCTGGCTGGGTCCAGCGTCAGGGTCAGGGCTCAGGAGGTGGGTAAGGGCGAGGCTGCAGGGACACGGCTCAGCCGACACCAGGAGGATCTGAGGTGCCGGGGGGCTTGTGTGAGAGCGGGCCCCCTCGCAGCAGCCCGTCAGCGTCCCCGCCTCCGCGTCCAGCCGGCCTCAGGTCCCCGTGAGGCGCCTCCACCTGGAGAAGCCAGCGCCCAGGCCTGCCCTGCTCTGTCTGCACTGAGGCTGCGCCCTTCAGAGCCCCGCAGGGCTCACAGCAGGAGGGGCAGCTCAGGGGGTGACCTGGGGGCCGGCTCTCTGCCCTGTGCCCGGGGACGACACGGAGGCTGGAAAGCGGCATTTTGATGACCTTGAGCAATTCCCGAGGCTTCCTTCCAGGATGGCCCTGATGGGTCCACGTGATGTGGCAGGTGCCGTCAAGCGTACCTTGGACGGGCTCGGTGCTAACACAGCCCAGATCAGCTGAGCGTGAGTGCAGGCCGCCTGCCGGGGTTTATGGCTGTTGCCCGTTCACTGCCACTGCTGCAGCGTCCGAGTGACTGAGCGTTTATGATGGACCCAAGTCCACAAGCGCATCATAAATAATCAGTGCGGGACTGACCCCACCCACCTGCTGCCGGCCTGGCGGTGCCCCTGCTGGGAAGGACTGACCTGCTGCCCAAAGCAGAGAGTTCCCCATGCAGGGGGAGGTGACCTGGACCCCACAGCTGCACCCCACTGACCCGCCACCGGCCACCACAGGCTCCCAGCACCCCTGGACCTGTTTCTGGCATTTCCAGAAACAGGTCAGTCATGGCTCAGTTTTCTGCCTTCTGCATGCCTCTAGAACCTTGTCTACTACATGCATTTTGTCCCAGTTTTACTCAAAGTCACTTGTATTTTACTAAAGCGTAAAACCCTTGGGAAGGGCGTGTGCTCTGGTCAGGCGCAACTGAGTAAGACCTCACTCTGATTTATCTATTGTTTTAAATCACCACGCAGACTACCGAGTCTCCTCAGGGTGAAACGTGAAAATAATAACATTCTGAGAAGCAAAGAAAAACCGTCTAGTTTCTTGGGCTTCCCTAGGTCTGAACTGCAGGTGAAGGAGCCTCTGACTCCCGTGCCCCCAGATGTGTGCACAGCCAGAGAAGCCAAGGTGTGAAAGGCACGAGGGGCAGGAGTGAAAGCAGGGCACAGACGATGCCCGGGGGCCCTCAGCCCCACGGCTCTGCTCCCCTCACCGCCATAGCCCTGGTGTGTGCTGGCCCAGCCATGGGATGCTCACCCGTGAAGCTTGCTGTAGAGCAGAGGGCTTCCCAGACCTGGCAGCTCAGAGTCCCCCAGGCGCTGGCGGGCGAATAATGACCCCCAAAGACGCCACACTAACCCCAGAATCCACGTCACTGGACGTGGCAAAGGGGCATTACAGGTGCAGGTGGAGTTTGTAACTAATCAGCTAACCTGAAGCCGGGACGTGATCCCGGATCCCCTGGGCGGACCCACTGGAAGCCCAGGGTCCCTGAACGTGGAGGAGGGAGGCTGAGAAGACTTACGGCTGTGTTGGCTTTTTGATGGAGGAAGGGGCCACGAGCCACGGAGTGTGGCACGGAGTGGGCAACGTGCGGGCCCCGGGCTCCCCGTGCGGCTTAGGACTCACTCTGGGGGCACTCTTGGGTTAACCCCGCGTTAATACTCAGCTCCTCTTAGGTGGGCTGTAGTGCACGTGCTTCTGTTTGCTGGGGTCTGGGCTGCCGAGGGCGAGGAGGGCCCCTTCACGCATGCCTGGCCACACCGTGGCACTTGTCAGCTGGGGGTGGTTCAGGACCACGGACAGCGTTGGCCCCGCCTGGGACTGGAGCTTAGCGGGACGTGTTCCCAGCAGGATACAAGGACACACACGGTCTCCTTGAGTGAGGCCGCGGGGCTGGGGGCTGGAAGCAAGCCCGTGTATCCAGTGCCCAGCGCCGTAGAGCTGACCTCTGGCTGTCGGAGGAGGGCGGGTGGAGGTGAGTGGGCTTGAGAATGGGCAGGTCTTGTCTGAAGGAAGGACCGGGCATGAGTGAGGACGGCCTTCCCCTGGAGGCAGTCGAAACCTGCGTGATAATCGGCCTTTTTGATCATTCCTGACACATTCGACTGAGAAAGTCTGTAAGAATAAAGGCAGGGCTTCTGAGCCAAGCCTGGGAAGAGGCGGCCTCGCTGCTGGCTTTCCCGCCGCAGCTCCCTGGCCTTTGAGAGCGGGATGGGCCGTGCTTCTGTGACGAGTCTCTGCATTGGGTGGCCCGAACATCGGTCGAGACGGACCCACACCCCCGAGATTCCCCGTCACGTGCAGCACACCAGACCCTCCCCGTGACTCCAGAGCTCTAGGTAAAGAAAGGGACTTCTATGGGGCGGGGCCTCATGGCAGAGAACGCAGTCTGCTTTTCCTTGGAGATCGGCCCTGCCTGCAGGTTCCCAAGCTCGCGTGGCACGAGACCCCTCGGCTGTGGGGTGTGGCTGGGCCTTCCCAGATGCCCCCCTACCGCTGGCCTGGCTGTCGGCACCCCAGTTGTTTGCCCGTGGAGTCGCCGGGTACAGTGCCTGGCCCGCCGCAGGGCCCAGGAGGCAGACGGCGGGCTGTCCCCCATCTGGGGAAGCGCGTGGACTGCAGTGTCGGCGCTGGGCTGTGCCGCGAGCTGGTCTGGAGGGCGCGACAGCGTCGGGAGCCGCGACCGCGGGCCTCGGGTCAGGCGAGTGTGTGCTGGCGTGGTCGGGCTCCGGCACAGGCAGGGCCCTCCCTGCCACCCGGCCCCGCCCTCGGCCGCCCCCCCACCGCCGTGCAGCTTAGGACGCCTGTCCTGCCGCTTCTGTCTGTGCCGGGTGAGCAGCGGGGCCAGCGGGACCCACAGTGCAGGCAGGGAGGACAGGAGCGCGCAGGTGGCCCGCACCCAGCCCGGGCAGGCCTGCTCCTGCCTGAAGGGAGCTGTGCTGCAGGACACGAGGCCCCGAGGTGGGCATCGACAGGGGGCAGGTCCCCCCCACCTCCACTCCCGGACGCAGCGAGGCGGACGCTCGGCCACAGGGGCTGAGTTGTGTGGGGCAGCTCATCCCACCTCTTCCCGAGACGAAGCACCCAGGGTGGGTGGATGGAAAAGGCCCACGGCCGGGGCCCGCTCCCTGGGGCAGCGGGGACTCGGGCAGCGGAAGCCCCGGGGCTTGGCGGAGCCTCTCATAGGGTTTTGGCTCTGAGACGGGCCTGGGATCTGGGGCGTCGGGTTCTGGAGGCAGCCACTCCGCACACCCCTAGGGGCTGCCGGGTCTGATCCGCTGGGCATCGTCAGACACTGCGCTCCCCCCGTAAGGGGGGCAGTGCCGCCACCCAAGCTGAGGCACTGTGGCGAACAGGACAACAACAGCCACGAGACGCTCTTGGAGAAACGTGGCGCCATTCGTCCTGGTCCTCAGGGGCAGCTCCTTTCTGGGGAGAGTTGGAAAGCAGCTGCTTCAGCACTCCAGGCGAGGGCAGCTCGGAGACACCAGACAGCCGGCAGGTCGGCGGGCCCACGCGGCTCACGCTCTGACCGGCTCGGCGGCGGTTTCTAGCCTGCGGCCCGGCTGGGCGTTTGCAGAGCCCATCCCGCGGCGCTGGGCAAGTATGGCCTGAAGCCACGTCCCTGTGGGAGGGGCTTCAGGCACCTGCGAAGTCACCGGAGTCTGGAAACTGCTCCTGTCCTCCCGCCACCGACGGAGGCCCTTGCCCAAGGTCACTGGAATCGGCACCGTTGCCCCCGGGGACATCGGGGATCTGGGGATCTGGGGTCTCAGAGCACAAGCAGCCCACGTGGCCCTTAGGGCACGAATGTCCACCGTGAGGGTCCCCTGGGCCCCGGAGGTGCCAGGGAAGGGCCAGGCCGGGTCTGAGGTGGCCCCGGTGCTCCCGGACCCCCACCCAGAGACCTACGTGTTGGGGGTTCCAGGCCTCGCAGCCCGGGGTGAGCTGGCCAGGAGGGCAATGTAGGCCACAAAGGTGGTCGGCAGCAGCAGGGGGCTGACAGCCTTCCAGGTCGCCTGCCAGTAGAGGCCGGACCGCGCACGGTCATCCACGCTATGTCGTCACAGAACCTGCCACAGAGACACTCAGACCTGCCACGGGCTCAGATCCCCCAGCCGCTCGACCAGTAGCCTCTGTCCTGCCACACAGATGGAGCCCACGGGGCCGCCCCACCTCCACTCTGACCTTTGCCCCACATCTTCCTGAGTGGCCCCCGGACCAGGCAAACTTCTGGGGTCCTGATGAGGACCCAACCCCAGGTCAATGTGTGGGGAAGGCCAGAGGGGCAGGTCAGCCTGGCCCAGGGAACGGCAGGACCCGTGGATTTGGCCCTGGGGGCAGGGAGCTCCGGCTCTGTGAGGGGTAGAGAACCCTCTGCCGGCCCGCTGTGGGAGGGAAGGCGGCACCTGACCCGGGCCCCCAGGATGGGGACGGAAGCCCAGGATGTGCAGCAGCCGCTGCAGACCCAGGAGGAGGTATCAGCCACCCAGGAGCCCACCCTCCTGGGGCCCCTCCCCTTCCTGTCCCCCCCCCAGGCCACTCCTCACGGCTCCTGAGGGTCCCCTTCTGAGACCCACAACCCGTTGAGTCCAGGGCCTCACTGTTCCCCCCTCATCACCACGGACCACTGCCTCTTACTCCGGTGTCGCGAGGCGGGCAGCATCCCTCTGGGGACAAGCCTGCTGTCCCAGTGCCCACAGAGCAGCATGGAGGCCCTGGCATTTGGGGCCTCTCAGATCTCCTAGAGGCACAACGTCCAGGGTCATCTGGGCAGGGCTACGGTCAGGGTGACAGGTGTGAGTCCAGGCGTGAGTGGCCATGAGGGAGACAGATGTGAGTGCAGGTGTGAGTGACAGGTGCGCCGCAGGCCCGGGCCAGGTGTGGATGGGCAGGACCAGTGTGGGGCCTCCTCAGAGGCCTCCAGGACGGTGGGGCTTGGAACCCTGGGTGTCCACCTGTCCTTGGACTTTAGGAGTCCCCCCGCGTGGCTGGGGACTGGTCGTTTTGTCTCTAGCGTCCCCACAGCCCGGCGGGTGGGTCCCAGGGGTGCATCTGTGGACGGGTTTGTTTGGGGAGGGAACTCAGATGGTCCGTGTCATCCCGCAGCTGTCCAGGAGACCGGCTGCCCGATGCCCACACGTGTGTACTTGGGGACGCTTGGAGCAGAGGGGCGGGACCCCTGGAAGCTGACTCACCGTTTCATCCCATAAACATAAATGACACCAGCCACCTCGGAGAACGTGAAGAGGTTCAGGTCCAGGGAAGTGACGTAGCGGTCAAAGGTCTCGAGCCAGTAGTTTCCCGCCCGCAGCGTGAAGCAGGCGGGCCAGCCCTGGACCCAGCCCCCATGTTCAGGCGTCTCCCCTTGTCCACTCCCCCCAGCATGTCCCCCTGCACCTAGGGAGCTGGAGGACGTGCTCGGATGGAGTGACCTCCGTGGGCAGTGTGGGACGGGGTCCCCTCCCTGAGCCTCAGCTCCCCTGTGACGATCCTTGAGGCACTGAGCCAGCGCTGCGGGGTCAGGGCCCTCGAGCCCTCATGGACATCGGGCAGAGTGGACAGAGGGTAGAGGCAGCAGGGCAGTGAGGACAAGCCCTGCAGGGAGGGCCTCCTTGGGGACCCATCTGGGCGTGGCCTTCAAGTCCAGGAGTGGTGTGACGACGCTTTCCGTGTTCCTGAGCGTGGACGTCAGGCCCAGGCTGAACAGCATCACTGAGAAGAGCATGGCCCAAACGGGGGCCCCCGGCACGTGGGGGCGCCTGCGTGATGACGACGGAGGCCAGGCCTGTGCCCGGCACGTGGGGGCACCTGCGTGACGACGACGGAGGCCAGGCCTGTGCCCGGGGCGCTCTGCAACGCGGCGCATCCGCACCGGGGCACGCGTGCGCACCAGCCCCCTCCTGCGTCGGGCTGTTTACAACAAACCACAGGTGCGCCTCTGAAGGAAGGGGGCCTGTGCCCCTAAACCCCCTGCAGCAGGCGCCGTGGGGCCTGGGGGCCTTGGGCTCAGGAGCCCATCCGACCACTGTCCCAAGGTCCTGCCCCCCGACTGCCCCCGGCCTGCTGTCCCTGTCCCGCATCAGCTGGCCCCGTGCGTGTCTCCTCCAGGCACAGCCTGGCTCCGTGGCTACGCTCAGGCCCCTCTCCCTCGGCTCTGGGCACCCACAACTCCCACTCTCGGGTCAGCCTGGATCCCCGACTGCTGGGCAGGGCCCGTCAGACCTGCTGCATTTAGGCCGTGGGGTTTTCTAGGAGCTCAGAGAAGCAAGGCACAGGGTCAGCCCCGATCCCTTCACTGCTGACCCCGGCTCAACACCTGCAGCCACCTGCAGCCTGGCCGCAGCCCCTGCGGTACCTTATCCAGGAAGTCCTCCAGGCAGCAGGCCTCCAGGGGGAGCCCGCCACCCGCTCGGGCCAGGTGGAGTCAAGGTGCGCGAGGGCAGCCGCGTAGTCCTCCCTGGAGATGCTCTGGTCGGGGAGATCGAAGGCGTTGACGAGGCAGCGGATGTTTCTGCAGGGTGGCCGATGGGGGGAGCAGATGCCCTAGGGGCGGGCCCTGGGAGGCCCGGCCTCGTGCACACACGGGGGACAGAGGCTGCAGCCTCGGGGCCCGGATACAAATGGACCTGCCGCTCCCTGCCTCCCCGACTCAAGGGCCCGATGGCCCTGGGGGTGGCGCTCCTAGAGCTGCTGCGGTGGGGCTGTGGGGGGGCAGCTCTCCTCGTGCCTCCACGTCTGTCTCAGGGCTCAAGGCTCAGACTCCACAGGGCTTCCACGTTTGCGAATTCTCCTGCTCGCTAGAAGGAACTTGTCACCTTGCATCCAGTCCCCACACCATCCCGAGGGCATTTGCGGACGTGTCCAGAGTGGCTGACGCGCCCGTTCCCGCCAGGCCCCCGGGACGCTCTGCCCTCTCATCTGCAGAGCTGTAGACAAGCCTCTCCCAGGCTGGCTGCGGCCGCGGTTTTCGCATCTTTGTGCTTTTTGTCAGTGATTTTGCTGTTTAAGTGCTGTCCAGTGTCCCAGGTGCAACAAGGAGACGGGGATGAGCTGCTGTCCCGCGGGGGTGACGCTGCAGCCTCTCTGGAACATTCCAAGAGGCGCACTTGCTCAGCAGTGCCCGGAGCGCCTGGCGGCTGCCCTTCATCCCCCAGCACAGCCGAGCAGGGTCAGGACAGGCGTCCCCCCACGCTCTGCTGACACGGCCACCGTTCCGCTGGCCGTCCGGGGCCGTGGGGACGTTCAGCAGTGCCCAACGGGCAGGCTTGTGCCCCTCTGACGGGCTCCAACCGCTAAACCATATCTGGAGGCCGCCAGGCCGTCCGTCTAACGTGGTAACTTCAAGGGTGGGGGCATTCTAACAGCATCAGCTCCCGGGGCTGTTGTGACAAACGACGTCAGCCTGGGGAGTCTTAAAATAACAGGGATTCATCCTTTCCCAGCTCTGCAGCCAGCCGTCCAAGATCAAGGTGTGGGCAGGGCTGCGCTCCCTCCGGAGGCTACAGGAGAGGGTCCTTCCTGCCTCTTCTAGCCCCTGGGGCCCAGGTGTCCCCGGGCTTGTGGCCACGTCCCTCCAGCCTCTGCCTCTGTGGTCACCCGGCCTTCTCCTCCGTGTCTGTGTGTCCCCCTTCTGTCTCTTATCAGGACACCAGCCATTGGATTGGGGACCCACCCTGTCCAGGACAACCTCACCTTAACCAGACATCTCTGCAAGGACCCTGCTTCTGGGTCAGGTCCCATTCCAGGTTCTGGGTGGACCCTCCACCCCACTGCTCTGGGGAAACAGAAGGTCATCTGGGGGATCCCCACGTGGGGGCTGAGCTCAGGGCCGCCTCGCCCCAGAGCCCGAGGGCACCGTGCTCCCCCGTCCAGTCAGCGCCCGTGGTCGCTGGCCGCCTTGAACCCCAGGACAGAGAAGACAGTAATGGGCACACAGAGGGAGGTCATGCCGTTGACCAGGGCGATGGTCACCGCGTCCCTCTTACAGTTGTTCCTGGGCAGACACGCGTGTCATCAGGGCCCCCGGGGGCCGCCTGTGCTCGACCTGGAGCACGGTGCACTGCTGTGCTCTGAGGACAGCTCCGACCTCTCCCCGCCGACACCCTCCCGGGGGCCCGGCTCACACTCACCCCGTGGTCCCCCCCCCCCCCCCCGCCCCCCCCCCCCCCCGCCTGTCCCCACGGACAGCCACCTGGAGGTAGGTTTAAGCGCGTCACTGCCGGCGCCGAGTGGCTTTTGGCCCGCGGTCGTGCCTGGTGCCAGGGCCAGCCCGTCCATAAAGGGGCGTGGGCCTGGCGTCTATTTTAAGTAACAAGGAGGTAGACACAGGCAGTATTTCTGCGTTTATGGCCACATGCGTCACACACAGGCAGCCCCTGGTTATGGCCTTGTTCCGGGGTTTGATGACCCAGGTTCTCTGCCTGCAGCCGCTCCGGAACTTGCTGGAAGCTGCCCCAGAGGGCCCCAACCTCCCGGCCCTTGGGGGATGACTCAGTAATTACCAGATCTTGACAATCTGTTCTTCTCAGAAGCTCACACCAGATCACCCTCCGTCCCCGGCCGCAGGTCACGGCAAAGAAATGCGTGGTGTGTCTCTCTGAAGCCTGGCTCCCTGCCCCCAGCCCGGCCCTCCCTGGGCGGGTTGTAACTTGCAAAAGTGATGTGTCCTCCGAAGGCCAGGGACAGAGAAAAGAGTATCTGGGTGGCTGCATCCAGCCACACCCGGGGGCTCTGCAGGACCTGCATCTGCAAGGAGATAGGGGCCCGAGATCAGACAAGCTGCCCTGGCCCAGTGCCTCCTGTTCTGGAATGTTCCCAGCGCCCCTGGGACTTCTCCCACGAGCAGTGCCACCTACTCAGGCCCTAAGAAGAGTTTGGGGCCGCACGCGAGGAGCAGTTGACATGGCCAACTCCGGCTGCCTGTTCGTGATGCGTAATGGCCCCCCGGGTCCCAGCCACACGAGACGTGTGGCCCTGAGCGCTAGGCGCACCGCCCTCTCGGGCTGGGAGTCAAGGCTGAGCAGCTCGGACTCAGGGTGTGTACTGCTCCCCTCAGGCCCGGGGTTCTGAGGATTTGAGGGCCCGATGGGGCCCCCGTGCACACAGTGCCTGATGTTTCTGCTGCTAGACCGGGCAAACCTCCACCTGCTTGCGTACCAGGGGCCTGTCCCTCCCCCGGGCAGGGCTCTGCCTGGGAGGCTGCGGGGTGAGCCGGGCAGCCCCTGGGGTCCCGGGGATGCTGGGCCCCGGAGACTGTGGAACGGCCCAGTGGTCCTCGCCTGGTGGGGCTGCACTGTTGGGTGAGGGCCCCAGGGGTGGGACGTGTGGGTCCCCAGCCGGCCTCCCCCCTGAACCCCCATTTCATAGCGGTCCCCATGTTCCAGACCGAGTCCTCCTCTGCTCCCTCCCCTCCAAACCTGACCCCTGGGATCCCAGGCTGCCCCTCCTTGTGACCACACCTCTGCTCCCACAGCCAGGGGTTGGGACGAGCTGGGCTGGGCAGGGGCCCCGGCTCGCGTGCTTCCAGAGCCCGGACCCCTGGGGGCTTGGATTCGGGACCCACTTACGTCGGGCGCGAATAGGTAGGTCCATCCTTCGGTCGCCCCAGGCAGGGTGAGTCCTCTGATGAGGAAAACCGAGAGGAGCAGGTGCGGGAACGAGGCCACGAAAATTGCCTGGAAAAGGCCGGCTGTCCGTCTTCTCAGTGTGTCTGTTCCGCGTGAACCCTCGAGAGGGGTGGGTGTACCGAGATGCTTGGGCCCACTGCCACGTCACCCATGGGATCCGGGAGGCGATGGTGGGGTGTGCGCTCCAGTCAAGCTTGCGGCGTTTGGGGGCCCCCCTGAAGCCCATACGTGGACCCCGCTGAGGAGGACGATGGCCTCCCCAGGGTGGGCGGACTCCCCCTCGCCCACAGTCAGGCCCCTCTTCCTTCCACGCTGAGGCCCCCAGCTCGCTTCTCAGGGTCCCTGGGGCCACACACCTGCCCACACCTTCTCCCGCAGAAGGACCAGCCCCCAATTCTTTCAGCGTTGAGGAGGGGTCTGCACACACGGCATCTGCGAGTGGACGCCCTTCCCTCCTGACCCCCAGACCCCAGTGCAGACACTGGGGAACTACCCAGCGCATCTTCAGGGACTTTCAGGGCAGGATTATTCGGGGTCTCTGGCTGGCTTGTTGCGACTGACGGCTGCTTCCGAACTTCCAGGCCCGTCAAGCTTGGAGCCCCTCACGGGAGAGTCACCATCACCCTCACATGGTAACCGAGGAAGAGCACAGGCACACACGCGCACCCGGACCTGCAAACCCCCGTGACCACGGATCGGGAGACCTGGGAAATGCACAGGATTGCGCCACAGGCGTTCAAAGGACAGACATATAACATAGTAGACTTATCCAAGCCCCGAAGGAAGAGAGGGCGGGAAGCTCTGTGCTGGGTGCAGCTTGAGAGGCAGGCTTGGGGGCTTAGGCTCCGGCTCCCCTGGTCCTTATTGCGTGGAGACCAGGTAGCAATCAGTATGTTTTTTCTCATTGTCTACGTCTCTTTAAAAGATAATCCTGTTTGAAACAAAAATGCTGAGAATGCAGGAGTTTCCTGGCGGTCTAGTGGTTAGACTTGGCACTTTGGTCATGGAACGAAGATCCCACAAGCCGTGCAGGGCAGCCAAAAAAAAAAAAAAAAAAAGTGCTGAGAATGAGCTTGCTGCTTATAACACATTGCAAGTCAAATGTATGACAACAGTGTGGGCACTGTGGGGAGGGAGGGTGACGCTGAGAGCTTCCTCTGTGCAGTGGCACAGCGTTGCCTGGAGACAGACCATGATGCTGCAACCCCGGATTCAACCACCGAGTTGCTACTAATGAGCAAAGCACATAGAGTGGGATCAAAAAATATTCAGCAGAAGAGTGAAACAGGAGCACAGAACAGAGGGGACAAGCAGGAAAGAAGTACGAGATGACAAGCTAAACCAAACCAGATAAAAAAGGCAGGGGGGCTTCCCTGGTGGCGCAGCGGTTAAGAATCCGCCTGCCGATGCAGGGGCACGGGTTCGAGCCCTGGTCCGGGAAGATCCCACATGCCGCGGAGCAACTAAACCTGTGAGCCACAACTACTGAGCCTGTGCGCCGCAACTACTGAAGCCCGCGCACCTAGAGCCCGCGCTCTGCAACGAGAGAAGCCCCCGCAATGAGAGGCCCACGCACCTCAAGGAAGAGTAGCCCCCACTCGCGGCAACTAGAGAAAGCCCACATGCAGCAACAAAGACCCAACGCAGCCAATTAAAAAAAAAAAAAAAAGGCAGGGATTGTCAGACTGGATAAAAAACAAGACCACCTACATGCTGTCTACAAGAATGACACCTCAAACAAAAAGGCCCAGAGGGATGAAAAGAAAAAAATTGGAAACAGTGCACTATGTTGACTTAGTCAGCAAAGGCTGGGGCAGCTCCTCTAACATCCCAGTGCACTTGGAGCCGACGGTCGCCAGGCTAAGGAGCTTCACCTCACGGTGACAAAGGCCTCAGTTCTCCGGGGACACGTGACAGAGCTGAAGTTGCGCCCCTCCTCGCCGAGCCTCTGAACCCCAGAGTCCAGCAATGGTGGAAATGGGGAGGGGTCCTCTGGGGCTGGTGGGAGCGGGGTCTGGCGTGTGGGCTCTCACCTTCCCAGTGGTCTCAGTGCCTCTGATGACACACAGGTACACCATGGCCCAGGAGGCCGTCAAGCAGACCCGCAGCCAGCACTGGACAGAGCCACTGTCGTTGGTGTCGGCCGTGACGTTTAGTGTCTGCCGGTACCGGAAGAGGCTCACAGCGCTGCTGTCCCGGCACTCCAGCCTGTAGCCAGCCCGTGCAGTCATGGGCTGGCCATAGCCTGCAGATGACCTGGGCACACCGGGCGGGACCGCTGCCACCCTGAGTGAGGGGCAGGGAGGCTAACTGCCAGTGGCCTCTGTGGCCGACACGGGGAGCCTCCCAGCCCAGCCCCTTGGCCTGAGCACCCAGGGCCAGCCTCGTCCAGCACGTGCCGAGCACAAGTTTCCATCAGCCAGAGGCAGGAAGGGAAAGAGATCAACCCAGCTTGACGAGCGAGCTTGAAAACCATGACTGTTTCCCACATCTGGGAGGTGTCCCCCGATGACGCCCTTGGCTGGGGTCTCCACCTAAGGACTTAGTTCAGGGAGCGCAGCGCCTGTGCCTCACCCTGCTGTCGCCAAGCACATGAGCAGCTGCGAGGGCCTGGGTGCTCCTCAGTGAAGGAACAGGGCGTCCGGGGCCCTGGGTCCCGCAGTGAGCAGGCAACAGCAGGGGTAACGAGACCCGGTCTCAAGGTGTCGGCCGAGGCTGGGCTTCCCCCCCGAGAGCAGTGCCCGTGTGGTTGAGGTCCAGCGGGCAGGCACTGCAGGGCAGCGGGTTGGGAGGAGCTGGGGAGGTACCACAGCACCCATGCCAGGACCGTGTCGCAGTGCATGCTGGCCAGGACCACGTCGCAGCGCATGCCGGCCAGGACCGCGTCGCAGCGCGTGCCGGCCAGGACAGATGTGACGAAGCCGCTGAGCCCTGCGGGCTCCAGCCACGGTCAGCGTCCCCCTCCTGGCTGCCCCGTTGCAGACCGTCCTCAAGCACATCCCACAGTTCTGCTCCCTACATCGCCCCAAAGGGCTCCCACTGTCTGCCCGCTGGCCTGCAGCTGGCTGCGTCCGCCCGCGGGCAACCCGTCACCTTCCCGGCCACGTGGTGCTCTCCGGGCTGGGCCGCGTTTGGCTCTCCACCAGCCTCAGGCTGCTTCCAGGTGGGGCTTTCAGATGGCCTGCAGCCACCAGGTGTGTCACAGGCCTGGACGGTGGTGCTCGGATCCCTTAGTGTGGCACCCGCCTCGAGGGTACACGGGGAGCTGGGCCTGCCCTCGCCTGGTCTCCCCTGGCCACGGGGAGCTGGGTCTGCCCTCGCCTGGTCTCCCCTGGCGCCTGAGCTTCCCTTAGTGCAGCGCCCGCCTCGAGGGTACGTGGGGAGCTGGGTCTGCCCTCGCCTGGCCTCCCCTGGCGCCTGAGCTTCCCTTAGTGCAGCGCCCGCCTCGAGGGTACACGGGGAGCTGGGCCTGCCCTCGCCTGGTCTCCCCTGGCGCCTGAGCTTTGGGGATAGGCGGGCTCAGCACTCTGCACGCGTGAGCTGGGCGATACGGGACAGCCTGCTGCTGCGCCGGGGCCGGCCCGCCGCCTCTGCCACCACACCCGGCATCCAGTCCTCCCACAGGGACGCCGCTGCCCAGGCCCCTGCGTCCTTACATCAGGGCACCTCCCGTGTCTGCAGGTTCAAAACCACTGGATATGCACTGGAGTGATGATCAAACACCCATGAAACGCGCATGGCACTCGTAAATGCAGCCCCCCGCCCCGCTGCCCCAGCAGAGAGGTGCCCAGGTAGGGCGAGATGGCCATCCACACCCGAGGCTGCCCCTGCGCAGGCGCTGGCCAATGGTGAGCTCGATGTGGAAGCGGCTGCCCTCGAAGGCCGGGCGATGAGGTAGGGGATGAGGAAGGTGTCTGAAAAGAGGCGGCGGTCAGCCAGCGGCGCCGTCTGCCCGGCCAGGCCTCGGGCCAGAGGACGACACGGGTGAGGGAGAAGCGCTTGTGGCTGCCCGAGGGGAGGATAGGGGACCCCCATGTCAGGGGGTTGCCATTGTTTTAAATGACTTGGTGTCACCCCACCATCTGGTGCTTTATTGGTGGTTTTCATCCACGGACAGGCTGCGTTGTTCTCCCTGAGGCCCTGTGACCCCTGGTTCCGGGGCTCCTGAGTCGGGGAGCCGGTCTGCTCACGTGGAGCCTCGGAGTAGGAGACACCCCAGACGGTCTCCCAAGCTTCGCCCTGAGTTGGCGCAGGAACCTGTCTCTTTAACCCTTCACCCCAGTCCAGACGCTGGGATGTGGACCCAGCGGTGGCAGAAAAGGTCGCTGAGGCCCCCAGGACGGAGCACGCACTGACCGATGCCAGAGCCCGAGGGAAGGGCAGGCAGAGATGGCGGCGGCCCTTCTGCGCCGTGTGCCCCCGTGGACAAGGTGGGTGCCGCGAGGTGGCAGGGCCTGGCCTCCCCGAACCCACAGACCTGCCAGGCCTGCTGGGGAGACCCCGGTTCCCCACTGGATGCTCCCACGCTGTCGGGAGGGCCACTAACTCCCCAGCACGGAGTCGGCGATGTTGGCGTCTCGCCTGAGGGCCCTTCCCTCCGGGTCCCCGCCAGCCGCGCGCTTCAGACCGGCATGTGTGGGCACGTCGATGCTCCAGGACCGACGGCAGCTGCCCCCAGCCCCCGCACAGGTCTAGGTGACCCCACGGAGCGGCTCAGCGTCAGCCCCTGGCCAACGAGGTCGGTCGGCTGCGTCCTCCCCACACTGTCTGCAGGAAGCCTGGATTCAGCTTCCAAGAGCCACTTGCACGCCCCACAGGCCCCTGTGTTCTTCACCAGCACAGCCTCCGTCTGGCTTTTCGTGTCACAATCCGGTGTTTGGAGGCTGAGTTGGGGCCCTGGAGGGAGCAGGTGGCCACGGAGCCCTCAGCCCACGTTGGCCTCTGACGGGACTCCAGGGCCAGCGCTTGGGGCAAACAGTGCTTATCAGTGTCTTCTGCGTAGCAGCCGCATTAGAGGAGAAAGTTAAACTCGAAGGACTCAGCCTCAGTGGAGGCGCCGGACGCCCCCGGGGTGCGAGGGCATCTGTGGGCTGGGACTCGGAGCTAGACGGGTGTGGACAAAACCCAGGTCACCCAGGGAGCCCCTGGGGGGAGGGGCCGGTCACAGGGCCAGGGCCCGGGGCACAGACGGAGGGCCCCTCCTCCCTGCCCACCCCGTCTCCACGCTGCACTGTGGGGTCTCCTGCAGGCGGGCCTCCCAGCCACCCTTAGGCCTCGGGCCGCACGGCTGCAGCGTGGCGAGGACTGACGTGGAATGGCCACACGGGCAGGGACCGAGTCCTAGGTACATGACCCGCTGTCTAGGAAGGGCTGCAGCCTCCGGGCTAACCAGACCTTGGCCCCCTTCCCCCTCCCCCCTGCTCTGAGGGGGAAACCCCGGCCGGACGGGCCCAGGAGGGGGCCTTAGGGGTGACTGAGGTCAGCATGACTGGGCCCACCCAGAGGAAATATCCGGGGAGGGCGGGGGTTTCTCCTGGGGCTGAGTCGCCGCACTGGGGGAGAAGGGAACAAGAGGCATTTCTGTGACCACGTGGGGAGCAGCGTCCACCCTGTGCATCCGATGCCTCTCAACCCCAACGGGACTGCCATGGGGACAGGAACTCAGATCGCAAACCAGGCTGGGGCGCTGGGGGCGGGGCGCAGAGGGCTCCACGTCCAGCGTGGGCACCTGCCTCCCTCAGCTCACACAGTAAGTTCATTTCTACTAGATCTGAAGGAGGGAGGAGAGTTGGTCCACCATCAGGTGGACCTCAGCGCAGAGTCCACAAGATCCGTGATGCTGGGATGAAGTAAGACAAGCGTATTTGGTCCTCATCCCGAAAAGAAATGCATTTCGGAGCTCAGAGCTCCCAAGACCCTCAGCGTCTCGCGGGTGACGGGAGAGAGAAGCAGCATCTGCGGTCCGTGAGAAGCCCTTTAACCTTACCTGGGCTCATGCCAATGAGGTATAACCCCTGGAGGATGGAGCCGGTGGCCAGAGGCCCTGACCACGCCCACCAGGGAGACCGAGTTAATCCCCAGTCAGTGGCCAGGGGTCCCATCGAAAACCCTGCCCGGCGGGGCTTCTGAGTGGGTGACACTCAAGGCACAGGAAGGTGGCCCCTGCGGAGGCGGGGTCTCCGTGCCCCTCCCTGCGCCTCGCCCTTCACGCCTCTTCCATGTGGCGATTCTGAGTTGTGTAACCTGTGAGCCTAAGTGTTTTCCTGAGTCCTGGGGGCCATTCTAGCCAATTATTGAGCCTTAGGAGGGGTCGTGGGACCCCTTGAATTTGTAGCCAAGTTGGACAGAAGCTGTGGGTCACCTGGGGACCCGCTGCTCCAGATTGGCATCTGAGGGGGGCATCTTGTGGGTGAGCCCTTGGCCTGTGGGGTCAGGCGGTGTCAGGGTGGGGTGAGGTTGTGGGGCACCCCGTCGGTGTCCACTGAGAACTGGAGACCCGGTCGGTGTGGGGAAAACCTCACACATTTTGTGCCACAGCCCTGAGAGCAGAAGGGGCTCCAACGAGCTGGTGACGTGGAGCATGCAGCCCCGTCGGGGGGGCCCGCTGTGCACGGCAGCCCGCTGGTGGATCTCGGAGAGCCCCCCCCTCACCCCGCGCTCCACCAGCCCGGGGGTGCTGGGTGCAGCACACACCAGGCCAATCCGCTAAGAAACTGTGGGGAAAAAGAAGGTTCCGGTCGGAACAGCACCAATAGCCCGGGTTGCCTAAGATCTTTACGGAGAGAATCACACGAGGACAGAAAGGAGAGTGACACGCTGTGTGTGTGTGCGTGTGTGGAGGGGTGACGCGTCGCTGGGGGGACTGCTTCCCAAACCCACCTAGACAGTCGACACCAGGCCAGACACCCGGGCTGGTGCCTCTGTGTCTCTGGTTCACGCAGAAGAGTGACGGCAAAGGCGTCTGAAGGAAGCGCAAGCCGAGAGGATCACCGCTGGACGCCAGGGCTCCTTAAAAGCCCGCACGACTTAACTGTGCCGCTTCCGGTGCCAGAGTCCGCAGACCTCCAGGGACACGGAAGTCCGGGCGGGCAGAAATCGCAGCCTCTCGATGGGGGACCCCGTCCGTGTGTCTCCCTGGGGTGAACCCCGAGCCGCAGCCCGTGTCGGAGCCCCGCGGTCGGCGGCCGGAGTCACCGCCGGGCCTTTGTGCCTCTACCGTCGTCTGACTTAAAGAACAGCTCGCTGCGGAGTGGCGTCTGTGTGACAGGATCCCTGGCCATCTCTGTCTGGATGCTCTGCTCAGTTCTGTCCCAGCGTTGCCTGACGCTTCCAGAGCGGGGGCAGAACACTGGGGTGGGGAGTCTGTGCAAGTCGGGGTGAGGCACCGTCTGCTTCTTGCCTCTCCCTCATCTTGGGAGTCAGCAGAGGTGCTCAGGGCAGGAGAAAAGGGCCTCTCGCAGCGTGAGAAGCTTAAGTATCTCACGACGCTGCAGCGAGAGCTTCCACGTCTGAAAACAGAGGCGACAGGAGTGTCTCAAAGCCCTGGCGCGGCCGCCCCGAGGGCCTCACTGTCTGGACCGCGGGGAGACGGACCTCGCAGGAAAGGGCTTCCCAGGCCCCCGGCTCCGGCAGCTCTGAACAGCGAGTAAGGTTGTGGGCAGTGAAACGTTTGCAGACGTCAGATCCCCTGCGTACGGAGCGTCGCCGAGGCCCTGACCTGACGCAAAGGGCGCCGAGAGGCCCCCGCGAGCCCCGGGTCGGGTCTGCCGCCTGTGCTTCTGCAGTTCCCGAGGGGCCCGCATCAGAGAGGCGCTGGCCAGGAGACCCGGGGCCCAGGCGCCCGCCCGACCCCAAACCGCGGGAGCTCTGGCATCTCTGGGGCAGCTGTTACAGGGGTACCTGCACTTTCAAACTCTCCTGCATGCCCTGTATCGTCTCACAATCAGGAAACAAAGACTTTATAAAGACGCAGCGTCCTTGTGACCAGGAAGCCGGCAGGCGGCGCTCACGTGAGGTCTGCTTGCCCACCGTCCACTGCCCCCCATCTCGCGAGGAGGGCTGGCTGTCCACCCCTGAAAGGGCAAGGATGCCTCCCCGTGACCAGAAGACGGGGCGTGAGTGTCACCAGCTCAGCCTTTCCCGTCTCCTGGGCCCTGAAAGAGACACGCCCCAAATTTCCCACCAGAGACCAACTCAGGCGGGAAGGTCTGCAGGTGCTGGGGAACCGCCGGTCTCGCAGGGGCAGAGGAGCCTCAGTTCAGAACCCACATGAGGACGAGCCTGCCTGAAAACCCCCGCCCTGAGCCTGGGGACAAAACGGGCCACGTCCGTCCCCAAAGGCAGTGGTCCGGCCAGCCTGCGGCCTCATGTCCCCAAGAGCAAGCGTGACACCGAGAGAAGGCCCTCGAGCGAGAAGCAGCCCAGCCGAGCCTCTCGGGCTCCAGCCCATGGGCTCTGCTGCTGGGACCCCGAGCAGAGCCCTGCGCTCGCGCTCTGGGGCGCTGTCAGCAAGGCCGCAGCGCCTGCAGAGGGGGCCTGGGCCCTGACCGCCGCAAGCCCGGACGGGCAGCCTAGTGAACAGCACCGCAAACCTGAGGCCACCGGGCCTCAGAGGGACAAATCCCCCGGGGGCGGCAGGTCCCTAACACCCTGGAGGCCGCGGGTGGGGACGGATGTGGAGGGTGCGCGGCTCACCTCCCCCGTAGGTCTGGCACAGGTACGGGGACCTCCAGAGGTTGCCCAGGCCCACGGCAAACCCGACGCAGCTCAGGCGGCACTGGAGCTTGTTGTCCCACTTGGGCCGCTCGTCCCCACCAGCTTCCACAGGTGGGTCCGGCTCCAGCGTGCCCGCCATGCCCACCACCTGCTCCTGGCCGCAGCCCGGGGCCTCCACTGGGGATGGGAAGCCGCAAGCCGGCTCCCCTGCAGGTGTGATTTTTCATGATTTAGAGGAAAACCAGTGGAGCCGGTTAATTGGTAACAACCCCCCGCCCGCCACAACTGCGTGCTCCCGCCCCCCGCTGGCTCCCGCCCGATGCCAACAGCCCACAGCTGCTGCCACCACCAGCACGAGGACCTCAAGGATTCCAAGGCTGGGGCACCTTTAGTTGTTTTTATAAAATTTTACTTTTAATTAACTTCGTGAGATAATTGCAGACTTGCACGTTGCCGTGAGGAGCAGTACCAAGTGCCCACGCTCCCAGCCCCCCAGTGGAGACGTCCTGCAAACATCTCGCCAACGCCACAGCGGACATGTCCGTCCCCGAGGGTCCCTCTGTCCCCTGTGTGGCCGCACCCCTGGCGGCCTGCATCTGCACTGCATCGCTATAGATTCGTCATCTCAGGCACCCTGTATAAACCGTGTGACCGTGGGGTTGGCCTCAGTCTCTGGAGACCCACCAGGAGGGGTGTAGTACGGCCCTGGGGCTCCGTGTCCGCTGCGCACTGAGCGGGTGGGGCTGTGAGCAGTAGCTGAGATGAACACCTGCACACAGCTCTGTGCGGACGTGGGGCCAGCGCCCGGGCAGGGCTGCCGGGCCTGGGCCGTGTTTATTTTTAAGCCGCATTTATCTTCCAAAGCGATTTCCAAACTTCTCAGACTGTCTGAACGTGAACTTTCCCTCTGGTTCCCAGTGCTCCTGTTCTGAGGATGCCCAGGTAAGTTCCAGAAGATCAGCCCTCCCCTCTGCATCCACTGGCACCCCGGTGCCCAGGAATGCACGCTGGGTGTGAGCCCACCATTAGCCACAGGGGTCGTGGAGGGAGTGGGGGCCTGGATCCTCAGGGGGCTCCTGGGGTGGGAGGGTGACACCAGGGCGCAGGGGAGGGGGCTTGGCCAGGCTGGGGGGACACGTGAGCCCTTGCCTTACCTCGGAGCACCTCCTGCCTGCGGGCTGGAGAGGTAGTGAGCTGTCACGGCGGATTCAGCCTAAGCCTCCCCCTGGGGCCCCCTGGACGCGTTCGCCCCGACCCAGCAGACGCTTCCACTAGGACAGGCCCGGGCCCTACGTCCATAATCTTCTGTTTCCTGGACGGCGGGCTTGCAGCCGGGCAGCCAAGGCCAAACGTGGGGGTCCCGGAAACGCAGGCCCCAGAGGACACATTTTTTAGACATCCCTTTTTGGGATGGGAAAAAGTGAGAAAAGGGAGAATCAGAGAAGACGGAAAGCAGTGGGGGGAGGGGGAGGGGAGGCTGGAAATGGGAGGGGGAGGGCAGGCCCAGCCCCGAGAGACCCACACAGGCCTTCCCCTCCGTGCCTCCAGCTCCCTCTTTTCCCCGTCCCCCCACAGTGACCCGGCCAGCAGCTCCCATATCCTGAGGTCAAGGCGCACCCACCCCCGCACTCCACCGGGCACCTTGGGTAATGGGGGCTCCGTGGGCGCAGCAGAAGCGCAGTCCGGCCCCGGCCCCTCGAGGCTGGGGCTCCGCTGCTTGCGCGTCCTCTGCACTTAGACAGCATTTAGGCCAAGAGTGTGAAAGGGGGAGATTTATTCAGACAGATGCGCGATGCCCACAAAGCCCGGATTTCTAACGATTTGCGAAATGTGAAGTCTGAAGGAAGCCCTCACCAAGCCACAGAGAGACGGATGGACCAACCCGGCCAGGTCACGCCTGCGAGCGTGTGCCCCTCCGTGCCCCGGGGCGGAGGTAGGGGCGTGTGTCCAGGGGGTCCGCAGCAGAGCTGTCCCAGAGGAGGGTCGGAACGCTCTGGGGAGCAGGGAGGTGGGGTCCTGCGGAAGCTGGCGGGGCGTCTCCAAGTGGGAGGGACGTGGCGCCGGGACCCACTCCCACTCGGGTCTCCATCCTGCGCCGAGAATCCTCAGAAGGTCCAGTTTATCTTAAACTTCCAGATTTTTCCATGGAAAGTGGAGGCGACCAGTTCTTGGAAACAAACACCCAAGTGCCACGTGACCCGGCCTGAGAATGGGTGTCGCATCCCGTCCCTGACTGGGAGAGAGGAGCTGACGCCAGCCTTCACCGAGCGACACCGGGTGGACGGTCCTCCGGGCCCCCGTGGCTCCCCGGCCGTTGCTTGGGACGCGTGCACCGTCCTCCACCTCGGTGGCCAAGGCTGAGTTAGTTACCCTGTAACTCGTCTTTTCCAACACCTGGCTAAATGTTCATGCAGTTACCGTCCTCTCAAGAAAACACGAAGGGGGGTTTTCTGCCCCAAATCGCCCAAGCTGAGTTTTATTAACTATTTGTCTGTTCATGGCGGCCAGATGCAGTGATTAAGTGGGTCAGCCTTCACGACGCCGGAATGTGGCCGAGACTCGGGGGCTCTTCGCAGCCAGCAGGTGGGCGGGGCCCCACAGGATTCTGCCAGGTTCTCGCAAGCTCACTGGCCTCTTCTGGACAGGCCTTGAGAAGGGCGCTCCTAGCCACGAGGTAAAGGCCCCGACCTCACCGCGGGAGTCCCGAGCTTAGGCGGTGACAGCAGGGGGGTGGGGGGGCAACGAGATTATGTTCCTAGGGGCCGAGGTGAGCAGGACACGCCCAGCAGGCGCACCCCCGCTGCAGCTCTGACTCTCCCTGGGAGTGCGGGCAGGGCGGGGGCACCACCAGTCTGCTCCCGGGCCGCTGGCCTCACCGGGCAGGCATGCGTGCTGCAGGGCAACGTGCGTGTGTACACACATAGCCATAGGTGTGCATGCGTACACACACACACACACACGCACGTGTGCACGGTGCACAGACGCACGCACGTGCACACACTCACACGTGCGAGTACATTCATGTGCCGACTCACACATGCACCTGCTCACACGTACGCGTACAAGCACACATACACATGCATGTGCACACACTCACATGTGTGTGTACCCGCACCAGGAGGGTCCCTACTGTCTCCTTTTGTGCACACATGCTTACATACACTGACACACGCACACATAGCCTTGCACATGTGTATACACTCACCCCTACACACATACCTATGTAGGCACACACGCTGTGTACACACTTATACTTGTACACTTGCAGTGTACACATACACACGTGCACACTCACACAGCATCCACGCATATGCAAACACTCTTGTGCACGTACGTATATACACTCACACGTGCACACGTGTGTACATAGGCACACACTCATGTACACACGCTCCCACGCAGGCACACTCACACGATACACACACACACTCGTGCACACACACACGCTCACGCACGCACGCACGTGCAGCCCACCCTCTCCTCTGACACCACCCCCCGTGCTGTGGGCGGGGCCACTCAAGACCTCACGTCCCCGTTCACCGAGACCGTGGACTGCGCGCCAACCAGCCCCTGCTGGTCCCCTGCCCTCTGGAAGCGGTTCCTGATGAGCTTGTAGATGGCAAAGCCAGGGATGGCTAGGCAGGGCACCCCGGCCACGACGACCACCACGCCGTACACCCAGTTCGGGTACTTCACTTTCTGGGATTTGGGAAATTCCTCCTGGAGAGAGAGAGCGACCTTGGGGTGAGCAGACGAGGCAGCCGGGGCCTCCCTCGGGGCGAAACGCCCTCTCCCCCGTGTGACTCCCTCCTGGCCTCCAGGCTGAAGGGAGGGGGAGCCGGCCCCCAGCCCCACCGCGGAGGCCCGGGGCTCACGTAGGCCGGGTTCCAGACGCTGTACACGAGCTCCTCGTTGACGCTGATCACGAGGAAGAACAGGAAGATGGTCAGCATGAGCAGGGGGCTCACCACCCTCCACGTGACCTGCCAGAAGATGCTGGGCTTGTGGCCGATCATGAACTCGATGTCCCTGTTGAACCTGGAAGCAGAGACCGAGGGGGCTGTCGCCGGTGCACACTGAGATGCCTTTCATCCCAAGACGGCGGAGGGCAGGCAGCCTCTCCACCCCCAGACAGACGGTCCCAGTCCTGCCGTGCCGCACCCTGACCCGTCACATCCTCTGGGCAAAGATGCGCCTCCCCGAGGAAGACCACCGTGGGCGCAGCAGAAGCCGATCTGTAGCCTCTGAGAACCCCCGCCGCCCCACCGTGCCACTGCCCAGCTGGACTGTGGACTCGTGTCAGAGGTGGCCACGGGCAGGCACTGATGCAAAGGAGGGGCCGGAACTTCTGGGGATGGAGGAGGGAAGCCGTCGAAGCCTCTGCCTCAGCCTCCTTGGCATGGCAGCAGCCCTGACCTTGGGGAACCTCAGCATCTCCCCCTGTCCTGTGCCCAATGCCCTTCTGCACAGATGCGTTTGTCATCTGCAGAAATCAGAACAAAGTGGGCAGAGCGTAAACGTGAGCCGTCCAGGGCCCGGCGAACACAGACGATGCTGCTGGAGAAGCGCAGGCGCCCGGGCCTCGTCCCCCGTGGGGCTCAGGAGCCCGTGACCGGACGCTTCCGCTCGGCCCGTCCTCCCCGAGGCCAGCCATACAGGGTAGCTGCCCGGGGCCAGTGTCTGGCTTCAACACTCTTCCGGCTGTTCACAGAGGGATGTGCTCTCTCAGACAGTTTCACACCTGCTGCAAGGTCAGCATCACACATGCGGTGACATCCGTACCTTTCCATCCGCACGTCCCTCCCTGACGTCTGCTGATGCTACACACAGCAGGTCTCCCAAGTGCGCCTCAGTCTCCCCATGGCGCCACCAGGCTGGTTCAAGTTGTGTTGCGAGTGAACCCCCTGCACGTGTGTCCTTACACACGCGCGTGCTCTTGGGGGTGCAGGGAAGGGGTCCCAAGGTGGCTCCCTCTATGGGTTTCCAGCAGATTATTTCTGGAGCTGTGGTGAGTCCAGCTCCTACTAAGAGCCCAGGGACCGTCTTCTGGGTCCCCACCGATCCCCGATGCCCTGAACGGCTGGCCAAGGGATGGCTGACCAGGCCACACTTGTCTGCCTTTCTTTGCCTGAGAAGCCCTCCCCAGACCCCAGGGAGCAGCCCTGGCTGTGCAGCCTGAGCTGAAATAAAACACCCAGCTCGCTCCCCACAGGTGGGGTGCTGGGGAAGCCCCTCTACCCGTAGCAAGCGGCTTGCCTGTGCACCCACCCTGGCTTCTCTCACCCACCCCGAGACTGTGCTATCTCCTTCCGCTGCTGCCAGCGCTTATCCTGGGGCCTGGGAGCATCCGGAAGCTGGAGGGGGTATGGTTTGCATGCATGCGGGACCCCTCTTCTCTCCCTGTCGCCCTCCCAGGGCCAGGCCCCTGCCTACACCATGCCGGGCCGGAAGGGAGATGCAGGCTTGGTCCCGTGTCTTCGCGGGCCTGCCGCCCCTTGTCCTGCCCCGAACGCATCCCTTTGTCCTGTGATGGGAATGTCCCCTGGCCATTAGAGATGGTCCTTCGCCTTCCCTCTTACCTGTCTATGCCGTACACGTAGACGACGGAGAACATCTCGAAGAAGGCAACGGTGAGCAGGGGGATGGAGCCCGCGTACCTGTCCAGCAGGGACAGCCAGTACTGGCCGGAGTTCAGCGTGAAAACTAAGGCGAGGAGGTACGTCCCCAGGCAGATGAGGCCTGTGGGGCGCAGCAGGGCCATTGTCGCCGGGGCAGAGCGGGCCGCCGGGGACCCAGGCCCCACGTCGGCACCACGGCCGAGACCCCCGGAGCCGGTCCTCCCAGCTCTGCCCGCACAGCCCCGGCCCCGGTCCGGCCTACCTGTAAGCAGCTCCTTGGGCCACTTTTTGGGGATGACGTTGAGGTCCTGCAGGGGCACCACCACACCCTCCATGTTCCCGAACATGGACGACAGGCCCAGACAGAACAGCATGATAAAGAAGAGCACGGACCAGAGCGGGGCCGCCGGCATCCTGGTGATGGCCTCGGTGAACACGATGAACGCCAGCCCGGTGCCCTCCACACCCTGCAGGGTGCGGCAGGCGCGTCACCCAGGGGCCAGGCTGGCCCTGTTGTCAGACGGCCCCCCGCCCGCCAGCCAGCACCACGCGAATGTGGCTGACGGGAGCCATTCTGGGAAACGACCAGATCTCGTCTTTTAGCCCTAAGCATATTTTAAACCTGAGCTCGGAGGGACTGAGCGGGGAGCCGGCAGCCCCCGCAGGACCCACGCAGGGCCGGGATCCCATCAGAAGCCGGGGCGCAAGGCAGCGTAACAGCATTTACGCCAGGGCCCAGGACACGAGGACTCAGCTCCACGCAGAAGGGTGGGAGGCTGAGGGGCGTCGTCACCAGCGGCCTGGTGCCCACACCGCGGAGGAGCGCGTCCGGGGGTCTAAGAGCCCAGACCCCGTGGAAAAGACAAAAGCACGTCTGCGCTGCCCGGGGCGTGGGGAGGGGGGCAGCAGCTCTGCTGACGGAGGACGTCCAGGGTGCGGGACTGCGTGAACTTACGGCGTAAACTTACTAAAACCCTGCAAACTGCGCTGGACACGGGAGAGCTTCCAGGTGAGAACTGACACCTCGATAAGGTTGCTTTTTAAAAAGAAAGGAAATTCAGTCTCTTGGCGGGGGAGGGGGTCACTGTGACTCCGTCCCTCTCACCCGGGGCTCCCAGGGGAGAGCCAGGCAGGGAGGACCCTCTGCTCTGTGTCCACTCCTGGCGAGATTGTGCTGTCGCCGGAGAAACCGTGCCAGGCCCCCACAATGCTCCACGTGCCCCGAAATGTCGGGTGGCTCCAAATAAGAAAATTGCAAAAACAAAATGAGTAAACGTTGGCCCACAAGCATCACAGAACGAGACGTCACTAATCTCGGAGCTGGTGTTCCACGCATTTGTGCGCCAGGTGAGGGTTTCCCGGCACCGTGACAGCCACAGGCCGTCGAGCGACTTCAAAAGTACAGTCAGGGGCTTCCCTGGGGGCGCAGTGGTTGGGGGTCCGCCTGCCGACGCAGGGGACGCGGGTTCGTGCCCCGGTCCGGGAGGATCCCACATGCCGCGGAGCGGCTGGGCCCGTGAGCCATGGCCGCTGAGCCTGCGCGTCGGAGCCTGTGCTCCACAACGGGAGAGGCCACAACAGGGAGGGGCCCGCGTACCGCAAAAAAAAAAAAAAAAGTACAGTTATAATGACTCTGCCCTTTTTGCAGAAGAAATTAAAGTAAAAATGGACCCCGGGGTGTTTTTGTGTGTTTGACCTGAGGCCATGGAGAGGTCAGGCCCATGGGGGCCCTTGGGTCCCTGCCTCTGCATCTCAGGGCCTCACACTTGGGGCTCGTGGCCCAGCAGACGCTGGTGACCTAGACCCGGCGCCCAAGGGGCAGGAGGGGCAGGGTGGGCCGGCACGTGGCAGGGGGACGGGTCTGTCAGAACTGAGCTCCCGGGGGAAGCTTGGTGTCCACCCAAGGTGCCCGCTGCCCTGCCTCGCGGCCCAAGGTGCCTACCTCCGAGAGGAAGGTGTTCATGTCGCACGTCTGGAACTTGAGCTCTGCGTAGGCCGCGGGGTTGGAGGCATTGCACCACTGCTGCATCTCGGCGAAGTTCTCCTGTGTCACGTTGCCTTCGGGCAGGTCGAACCCATTGATGAGTGTCAAGATGTTCCTGGAAAGAGAGTGAGGCTGACTTCAGCCCCGGGCGGGCTCCCTGGAGGCAGAGGCGAGGGGCGGGGACGCAGCGGCCACCCGGGCGCCAGCCGGCCACTCACGCGCTGAAGCAGTCATCGAAGCGCTCGGTGGCCCGGAAGCCAATGATGGAGTAGACCACGGTGGCCGCATACACGGACGTGAAGCCGTTGATCACAGACACGATGACCGAATCCATCTCGCAGTTGTTGCTGCGGACGAAAGCGGCTTCGGTGACCACAGGCCCGGGGACGCCGTGTCCACCCGGCCAGCCCACACCGGCACGAGTGGGACGGCCAGAGCCATCGGGCCAGCCTGGGACGGAGCCGCCCCAGGCATGGATGGGGGAGGGGGCTCTCGGACAACCCGCCCGATGCCAGGTGATGGTCCCCAAGCCCTGCTGCGACCTGGTGGCCCCTCGGTGCCCCCACAAGCCCTGGGGACCCCAGAGCTGGAGCCGGAGATGCCTGTGTTCAAGTCTCTGCTGGGCCAGTGTCTGCTCTGGGCCCGGGAGGTGGCTCGTCAGCCCCACGCGGGCAGGACAGCCTGGACCTTACAGCCCGCCAGCCACAGAGGCTTCAAGGAGGCGGCGTGGGCCAGGTGTCCCCCACCCCCTGGCTGGGACCCCTTCCCTCCCCCCTCCCTGCCCCCTGCCCCTGCCAAAGACCCCTTCTGCCAGCACAGAGGCTTCAAAGAGGCGGCGTGGGCCAGGTGTCCCCCACCCCCTGGCCGGGACCCCTTCCCTCCCCCCTCCCTGCCCCCTGCCCCTGCCCCGGCCGCAGGCCCTCACGGCTGAGGACGCCCCCCTCCACCTGGACACCCGAAGCCTCCCTCAGCTCAGCACATGACCCCTGACCTCCCCCCTCCCCGCTGCTGACAACACCATCCTTCCAGGCGCTTCCATCAGGAGCCCCAGGGAAATGCAAGTCAAACCACAGTGAGACGCCACGGCACACCCACCGAGGCGGCCGGAACCAAAACATTTGGGAGTGACGGGCGGGCGTGAGGGTGTGGAGAGACCAGGGCCGCGCACACGGCCCTGGGGGGAGCTGTGAGGTGGGGGGCCGCGGTGGAGAACGGCGCCCCAGATGCTTAGACCTCCAGCCGCCCTGCAGCCCGCCAGCCCTGCCCCTTGGGGTACACCTGTGGGGAGCCAGAACAGGCGCACACGGAGCTTGGACGCAAACATTCACAGCAGCCGGAAAGTGGACACAACCAGATGCCAGCGGCCGAGGGACGATACACGGAGCCCAGCGTGGCCCGTCCACAGGCCTCAGGGCGACTCAGCCACGCAAGGAAGGAGCGTGAGGAACCCCGAGGGCCTCAAGTTCAGTGGGAGGAGCCAGACACAGAGGGCGGAGCCTGGAGGGGGCCGCATCTGTGAGATGTCGGGAGGGGCTGACCCCCGGGGAGAAAGCGGCTGAGTGTTCCGGGGCCGGGGAGGGCGCGGGCTTTCTCTCGGGGGTTGGAAATATTCTGGGATTAGCGGCAATCGTTGCATGACTCTGTGAACACACGAAAAGCCACGGGACTGTGCGCTTTAAAGGGGGCGGCTGTGTGCGGCTGGAAGCAGCTGAATCTTCACCCTCAACTACCCCCCACGCCCCGCTGCCAATCCGCTGGGCCTCACGGCGCCCTCGGCCTGGGCGACCACACTCGGCACCCACCCGCCGTCGGAGTCTTTGTTCACGTGTTCTGAAGCCCCAGCCAGCTCTGACGCCAAGCCGGCCCAGCCCCCGGCTCCAGACCCCTCGCCCCGCTCGGTTCTTCCTTTTCTCCGAGTCTCTCATTGCCTGCGACCTGACAGAAGCTCACCGTGCTGGTGCGCCTCTGCCGGACGCATGGACGCGGGACCCAGGAGCATGGGTCCTGGCGCGTGGGAGGCAGGGGCGGGCACTCCATAAGTGCTTATGAGATGAGCGGACACTGCTGCGCACCCCTGGAGGCCCTGGGGGTTCTGGTACTTTCTGTGTGGGTGTCGGTCTGGGGTGGACGGTGCGGGATGCCGAGGGGTGGGGGACGGAGGGGGTAGCAGCAGCGCTCGCTGCCGCAAGGGCCAAGGCACAAAGGGGAGGCGAAAGGGTAAGCAGGTCCCGCCCGCCTGCTCACGGCCCAGCCGACCGCAATCCAAGAGGCTCAGACCGGCGCCTCTGGAGAGCGCGCGTCCCTTCCCTTCACGCTCACGGCAGGTCCGATGCGGAGACAGAGGCTCTGAGCACCGGAACACCTGGTGGAGTGACAACCCTGCCGCCCACGGACCCTCTGTCCCTCGTACTCACTGGACGGAGTTGTAGCTGGAGAAGGAGATGAGGCCCCCAAAGGCCAGCGAGAAGGAGTAGAAGACCTGGGCCCCCGCGTCGAGCCAGGTGACTGGGTTGGCCAACTCCGTGACCTGCGGCCAAACAGGCACCTTCGGCTGTGCGCCGCTGATGCGGGGGCGTGGGAGACACAGGAGGGGCGCCCGGGGGGACGGGAGCCTGGAGGCAAGGTGACGGCTGAGGCCACCGGCCGGCGGTCAGAGGGAAAACGGCCCCGAGGAGACAGCTGATGACCCGCCACCCAGAGCTGCAGCTGAGCCGGCCCATGACCTGCACAGGCCCAGCCCACATGCAGGGACCCTGGGACCAGGCAGGCACTGCGGTGCCCAGGCCAGCGGGTGGCCGGCGGGGACTCACGTTGGGCGTGAAGAGGAAGACAATGCCACTGGAAGCTCCCTTCAGCGTCAGGCCCCGGATCAGGAAGATGGTCAGGACGACGTAGGGCAGCGTGGACGTGACGTACACGGCCTGGGGAGGTGGCAGGTGTGGGACGAAGGAGGCCGGAGCAGGGGTGGGGGCCCTGGCCTCGAAGAGGAGGGCTGGCCACGTGGGACCTGCGCTGCTCTCCTCTGTGCGCCCCGGGCCCCAGCCTCCCTCTCTGGTTTCTATGTTCTGTTGTGAACGTGGTTACTGTTTAGCTCTGCCCATCAGACGGACGTCACTGTCACTCCCACACTCGGCTTCTTAAACATGTGCTCGAGAGCCACCTGGACCAGCACCGAGTCTGCGGCGCGGGCCTGGGCGACCGGCACAGCCCTCCCGGACAGAGGGCACGCGGGGGCTGGGCCCCGGAGCGGGCTGAAGGGGCGGCAGCTTGGGCGTGGCCCCCCGACGCCCCCGGGGGTGCCCGCAGCTTGGGCGTGGCCCCCCGATGCCCCCAGGGGTGCCCGCAGCTTGGGCATGGCCCCCCCGACGCCCCCAGGGCGCCCGCCGTCCCCGCACCTTCCCGGTGGTCTCGATGCCGCGGATGGTGCACACGTAGAGCACGCTCCAGGCGCACGTCAGGCACAGCAGGATCCACCACTGCACGGAGCCCGAGTCGTCGATGGAGGTGGACACGTTGAGGGTCTCCCGGTACCAGAAGTAATCCACGGAGGAGCTGCGGGCACACTCCTCCACGTAGCCTGGCACGGGCACCCGCGTCAGTGTGGGTCACAGAGCGCACGGACCCCCAGGAAGGAAACCCGGGCCCAGGTCCCAGGGCACTGTTGCCAGGGGTGCAGTGCGCCTGTGCCCAGGCATACACGTGTGTGCACACCCACACAGACACACGCAACAGACAACATGCACACGACGTACCAGCAGGTGTGTGCGCACGCGGGCACGCTTGCACGCGATCGTGTGCACGTGTGCTACTTGTGTACATGACTAGCATATGCACACGCCAAACGGACTTGTATGCACACTCACATGCAAACACACTCTTGCACACGTGTGGCGTGCACACAGGGCCTCGACTGCCTGCCTTCTCCCCCCACCCCCACCCCACGGCACTCAGCCATTCGGGGGTCACCAGTCTTTGGGGGTCCCAGGCCGGAGCCCACACCGGGCAGCTCTGTTCAACCTCACACACTCTCGCCACTCTGAGCCCCAGGGTCCCAGGGTCCTGATTGCCCCCCAGGCTCAAGGAACCACAGAGAGACCCTGTCAAGGGGGGGCGTGGTCTAATCCTGGCAGACCTCCCCTCACCCTCACCCCGCCCCCATCCCCAGAGACAGGAAGTTGCCCTGAATGGTCCCAGTGCGGCCAGGCAGCCCACGGGGCAGGGCCCGCCCCTCTCTGTGCTCTGGTTTTGGCCAAACGTGGGCTGCAACCACGCGAACCTCGGAGAATCCGAGGGCAGCTGCTCGTGGGCCGGCGCCCCCCCCCCCCCAGGCCCTCCAGGGCTCACCTGTCTGGTTGGCGTTGAGCGGGCACTGGCTCCACGGCAGGGGGTCCTGGAAGGAGTTGAAGAAGTACCACATGACCCAGGCGATGATGGTGTTGTAGTAGAGACCCACCATGAAGGACACGAACATGGATGCGATGCCTGAGGGGGGTGGGGAGGTCACCTCTGGGGGAGCCTCCTGGCCCACTGCGTGTGCGTGGACGGAGGCCCCAGACAGCAGGGGGCAGCCCCCGGTGGTCAGCGTCCCTCCAGGTCCCTGCTCTGGGCAGGCCGTGGGGCGCTCCGCTCTCCCCACATGTCTGCCCCTCCCAGGTCCTGCACGCCTGGGGACTCGGGACGTCCTCTGCTGCCCGGTTAGCCCCTGGTGGCCTGGACCCTGCAGCCACACCCCAGGAGATTCTAAGGAAGGGTTTGCAAAGGCCTCAGGGTGGGGGCCGTGGAGCCCCGGGACCTTCCTCTCCCTGAAACGTGAAGGGAAGGAAGGAGGACGGGGTGGGGCTGGCTGCCAACACGGGACCCCAGGCAGGCGCCCAAGTCTGAGTGCAGACACGCACCTACGCCCTTGAGGGCCGGGTGAATGGAGCTCCAGACGCCCACGCTCCCCTTCCGCAGCCGCTGCCCGATGGCGAACTCCAGGTGCAGCAGGGGGATCCCCTCCAGGACCAGCAGGATGAGGAAAGGGATCATAAACGCCCCTGGAGAGGGAGGGGCGGCGTGCAGTCAGGGGGCGGCTCGCTGGACTGCACAGGCCACCTTCACAGGCGTTTGTCACAAACACAAAGGATATCGCCGTCGACCATGCCCGTGGTGACGGCCAGCGGTGTTGCCGTGGGCGGGGCTCACGCCACCTCCTAACGGGGGCCAGCCCACCCTTGTCTGCCATCCCTGCAGGACGCTGTCTGCGCCACAGCTCCCGGAGGACGAGGGATGGTGGCCACGTGTAGGTGGAGCCCGGGGAGGGGCACGTGCCAGGGTGAGCCCCTCAGCGGTTGTGGACACACGTGGCACCCTCACGCAAAGGTAGGGAAGGGCAGAGGGGAGAGGCCAGGGGTTCAGAGGCTGACCCGGACGTCTGGCAGGAGGGCATCTCAATCTGAGGCTCAGGGACCCTGCCCTGGGGACGTGCGGGAGCAGACGCAGCACCTGCCGGCCCTGCTCGCTGACGGGCACCGGGGTCCAGCCTGGCACCGACCAGGAGCCCCGTGAACATCCGCCGAGCGTAAATGAAGGACAGGGACGTGGTGACACCTGCTTTCACGGTGCGTGTGCGCCCACTGGGCTCTGCTACCCGGCCCACAGCGACGTCCCTGCCCACTGCTCCGTCCTCAGCACCACCACCCCCAGCCCCCAAGCCATGGTTGTACCAGCTGCCCTGGCCTGATCCAGGTCGGGCCCCCCAGCTGCTCCCAACACCCTGAACTGGGCTCTGGGGAAAACAGGGGGGCATTCTAGGTGCACATGGCCTGGCACCGCGGCGAGCGCAACGCAGCCGAGATTAGCACAATCGTGGTCACCGAAGGTCGTTACCATTAATCGGGACGAAGCTCAAAGCCGAAACTGGGTGATAAGAATTGGAAACACACGACTGCTTCAGGACTTACGAGCGGATCCAGGTCCAGCCCGATGGGGTCGCGCGGTTGGGTTCCCAGCACACCGGGGCTGCCAGCACTGCCCTGGGATGCTTGCTCTGTGGCACTACCTCTCCGCCCCAAGTGGCCGGTGTCCAGCTGTGAACCTACCAAGTGAGGGGGTGCCCCGCATCTGCCCCTCACCCTGGGTGTGACACCCCATCTGGAGTGTCTATGCAGCCCCCGTCTCCCTGCCTTCCCTGCGCCCACCTCTCCCCCTAGTCCTCCCCGCCCCCGCCTCCTTTCTCCGGCACGCTCATTCTCTGTTCTCCCCCAGATATCTGAAACTCTTCACTTCTGCCCCGCTGTCTCCCAGACCCCAGCCAGGCCACCACCTCCCCACACTGGCCTCCCGGTCAGCGTGCGTGTCACACCCTGAGCTAGAGGTCCTCACTGGCCTGGCGCTGTGTGTGCCAGTGAGTGCATGCACGTGTGCATTCACACGTGTCTGAGTGTGTGCGCCCACGGGTATGTGAATGAGTGTGTATGCGTGAGCATGTGGGCGTGTCCGTATGTATGTGGACACTCGGTGTGAGTGTGCACAGGGATGTGTGTCCTTGTGCACGGCAGTGTGTGCATGTGCAGGTGTGTCTGAGAGTGTGTGTCTGTGTGCACATGCATGCTGAGCACGCATGTGTGCGTGTGTGTGTCGAGAGGGACTTGGAGGGGCGAGGGGGCCCACAGCCTCTGCCAGCCCAGCTTTCCCTTTAGCTCCTGGGTTAGTCCCTCGGCCTTTTCTCTTTTTCCCTCCTCCATCTGCCTCCACAGAGCCCTCACGTTGGGCGGACAGGCCCCAGAGCCCAGTGGCACCTCTGCCGTCCCCGTGGCCCCTCCTCGGTCTCCACGCCAGGACGCTGAGGGGCCATGGGCCGCAAGACTCTCTCCCAACCTGGGGCTGCAGGGACAGGCTTCTTCCGGTTCCAGGGCTGCCAGGGGGCCGAGGGCCAGGAAGCAAGGGGTGTGGGCTGTGACCACGAGGAAAGACCCCAGGAAAAGAAGGCCCAGCAGACGGATCCCCTGAGGGAGGGGAGGGGAGCTGCCCTGGGTCTGGGGACACGGCCGAAGACATAGGCTCAGGGCAGGGACTCCTGCGATCCCTCTGTCAGTGAAGGTAAAGTTGAAATAAGATTTGTCTATCTGACGTTTTCTTGGGAGCTTGATTTGAAAATCTTTTGGGCAGAACTACCAAGAAGAAAACCACCCCATGATTCCAAATCCCGTCCCCTCCCCTCACGAGGCCACTTTTACTCACCCCCCACCCCCAGTCTCCCTGCCCCTTCACCTCCATCAGGAAACTCCTATTCATCCTTGAAAACCTCGCTTGGATACACTTCTTCCAGGAAGCCCCCCCCTGCTGCCTGTGGTCCTGGCACCTCTCCCTCCCACAGGTTCCTCAGGGACCAGAGGCTCAGCTTCAAGGGGATGGGAGGGTGGGACCAGCACATGCCCACTGCACCCCCAGAGGTGGCTGGGCTAGGGAGCCCTCCTGTGCCCATGCTGTGCAGTCCGCCTGCCCAGTTCCCCCAGCCCTGGCCGCACCAGCAGGAGGCACGCACTCTGCACCCTGTTCTTTCCAGGGATGTGCGGTTCTTGGCTTCTTTTCTCTCAAGAAACTCAGGCTCCAGGGAATATGCATCTTCCCTTTTTAAACGGGCTTCCCTTCTGTGGGGGCAGGTGTGGAGGAGGCGGAGGGACAGAGGAAGGAGAGCTGTGGGTCTCAGTGAGGGAGGAAAGCCACGTAAGTGCCCGGTGCCCGGCATCGTTCCAAAGGTCCCCAGAGACGGAGACGGCCCCCACGGAGGGACACACACGCAGAGAGAGACGCGGGGGCAGGAGACATAAACACCACCCCACCCCACCCCCGCTCCGGGAAAACGACATGGAGTTTCTCTCCGAAAATCAGGAAGCCAGACGCCAGATGAGGGAGGAGGGAGCTGCCAGACGAGGGAGGAGGGAGCTGCCGGAAGAGGGCCTGGCAGTGGCCCACGTGGCGCAGGTTCGGGTGCGGGGTACCTCTCAGCTTTGGAGTCTCCCAGGGGCGCCTCACTTTTGTTTAATCATGAAGGATAATCGCAGACCCTCAGTCGGCTTCCAGGAGGAAAGCGAAGTGGAAACTGAGGCTGCTGCCCTTCCCGTGTCGAGGATTTGCCCGGGGACTTGGGGTGGTCCCATGCCTGGGCTTGTGTTGGGGGTGGGCAGCAGGTGCCTCAGCTGAGGGCCCGCCTCCCCCGGGCACTGCCCGCTTCCCCAGACACCCATGGAGGGGCCGTGGGTCCCCCCGCCATTTCCCCAAATGACACCACTGCCCGCCCTCACCCAGGGCCTGCCCTGCGTCCCTGCCAGTCCCGTGATCTGGACTTAGTGCCCGGGAGACCCTGCTCGGCTGCCGCGGAGCCGGCCTGCGGGAGGGGCCCAAGCCACGCGGGCGGGTCCTGCCCTCCCTGGGCCTGGTCCACCCTGCTGGTCTGTGCGGTCCCAGTCAGCATCTGGCCGAGCGGACCCCTGAAAGGCCTCCAGGTCCCCCAGGCCAGGGGACGCCAGAGCCCCGAGGCACTGCCCTGCGGGCACAGCAGCTGCCCTGAGGGCCTGGGGGTGGAGAGGAGGCCTGGGTTTGTCCAGGGCCTAGAGGTCACGACCCCAGAAGTGGGACCACCCGGGACCCCGCACTCCCGCGGGCCCTGCTCTGCCCTCCTTGCCTGGGCCCTGTCCCCTGCGGGAGCACCCAGCCCGTGTGTGCCCCGGGTCTGCTGGACGGGCAGAGGTGGCCATCGCAGAGGGAGTGGACAGAGCCGGGGTGGGGAGACTGGCGATCCAGGCACCCCGGGGGGGCCCACCTCCTGGAAACCCAGATGGCGCGGGGGAGGGCGGGGTGCAGCGTGGGGACCAGGGAGCTGAATGCAAGCGTGGCGCCCGATGCCGGACTCCTGGTCAGAGCAGAAGACAGGCAGCAGGTGCACTGCCCGCTTGCCGGCTGGACATATAACCATGCGTGCGGAGCCCATGGAACGCTCACCGGGGACTTGGGAAGGAGGGGCACAAAGGACGAAGGAGGAGATTCCTGAAGTGAGGCCACCCTGAGGCGTCGAGGGAGGAGCGGTGCGGACGGGTGGGGGAGGGAGGTGGGGAGAGATGCCAGCTTCCCACACCCCCCAAGCCCAGAAAAGCAGTAGGTCCTTCCCAAGCCCCAGGGAGCTGAAACAGCCGGGGCTCCCACACCCGCCCGCCCAGGGGGCTGCTCTGGGCCAGCAAGCTCCTCCTCTGTGGCTGGAGCCACGAGCCTGCCTGCAGGGGGACAGCTCCTTCAGCGCCACAGACCCCTGCTCTCTGCTAACAGCAAACACTCACCCCAGAGCAGAGGCGAGCGGAGGCCAGGCCAGCCCGCGGGAGGGTGGAGGCGAGGGCTGCACACGCGCAGCCCCTGCTAGCAGAGACGCCGGGACCCACGGGAGACCCAGAACCAGAGGCCCGTGACTGCAGGGTCCCCCAGGGTCGTGCAGCAGCCGCTCGGCGCGCACGTGGCCACACACGCAGCAAACAGCGGGAAAGCATTGCCGATGCTCAGCCTGGGTCGGGGGCCTGGGGGTCTCTGTTGTGGCTTCTGGGGGCCTGGGGTCTTTACTGTGGCTTCCTCTACTTTTCTGTATGTACTTTTATTCATAATATAAAGTTTAAAGTAAAGTAAAGGATCGTCTACTTCTTGAATGACCCAAAACTCCTGGAAATAGCTGGAGACAAAGTAAGTTTTCACCAAGCCAGAACGGACGGTCAGGGTGGGAGGAGGTCAAAAACCTTCAAAGGCGGCGTTTTCTCCGCAAGCTGGACAACCACCCCCCTCCCTCCTAGCTGGCTCTGCGGGGGCTGAACGTCACCCTGATGGGTCCCCGGCCACCCGCTGCCTTGTCCTCAGGGATCGTGTCCTGGGTGTGGAGGACAGGACGCCCAGCTCCTGACCTATGAGCTGGCCCAGAGGACTGTGGTCAGGCCCTCCGGGGGCGGGGCGGCGGGTGGACCAGAGTCCCGACCTGTCCGGGGCAGGGCGGGCGGCAGCCTCGCCCAGGGTGCCAGGGGCTGGACCTCCACCCTCGCCCAACCTGAGGAGGGGCGGGGCCGCCTGAGGGAGCCCAGCTGCCTCCGTCAGCGGGGTCTGCAGGCCGCTCTCGCGCTGCCCCTCGGGCTCCTGGCCAGCGTGCAGCTGCTCCCACGGGGAGCTGCTCCTAGTCAAGGGCCTAGGCTCCCTGGAAGTCTGAGGTCTCAGTTTCTGCTCTGTCACTCTCACTGAAGACCTTGCAGCTGCTGCCCGCGTGGTCCTCCCAGGCGTCCCTGCCCGGCTCTGGGGTCCCAGCCCCCTCTTCTCAGGGACAAGCCCCTGGCCTCCACCCACAAAGTGGGTCCATCCCGAGCCCCCCGGGGCCCACCTGCAGAGGGAGCATTCAGCCCTTCCTCCCTGCCCACCTCCTGTCCCTGGGCTGGACTCGAGGCTGGGACCCTCCCCCAGGACGGCCCCTCAGGGGCCGTGACCAGCAACTTCCAGAGGGGGGGCACCAGCCTCACTGAAGCCGCTGAGAGCCCGGCAAGAACAGGCCGGACTCAGGCTGGGGGTCCTGACCTCGCAGGCTCCCTGGGGCCCCAGGCACAGAGGGAAGCGCAGCCTGCCAGAGGCTCAGAGGACACACCCTCGCAGACACTCAGGAGCTCGAGCCCTTGGGGGTGGCACTGCGGGGACCCCGGGAGGCCACCTCCACGTCTGCTCTTCTGGGGGGCACTCGTGTCACAAAGCCTGGGAGAGCCCGCAGCTTCCTTGGAGTTAGAACTGACTCAGGCCACTGGAGGGCGCTCAAGAGCCCACGGAAGCAGGAGCATCCCCAGAGCATCCGACCGGCCAGCTCTCGGCCGTCCCGTGAGCGCTGCACCTGCCCCAGACCTCCTCCCCGGTCCCGTTCCCCTACCCCAGGCCGGCACGGAAGGTGACACACAGGGCGGGCTCAGCCCGGGGCGGGCTCAGCCCGGTGCCCACATGGCAGACTCACCAAGGGCCGGCGTCACTGCCCGTCGGGCCAGCACCTTCCAGGCTCAGAGGGGGGGGCTCCCCCTGAGAAGCGGCCGGCTCCTCCCTGACCCCCACGCCCGGGTCAGACCAGGTCTGGGAACGGGGCAGGGCTCCAGGGTGCTGGGGCACGGGGCCCACCTGACGCGCAGGCCCTGGATGCGCCGGTCCGGCGCGCCCGGAGCCGAGGGGCTTGCCGGCCCCCAGGCCGCAGTGGGGCCTGGGCGGAGGCGTGTGCGTCGCCCGCCCCCCGCCTACCTCCGCCGTGGCTCTGGCACAGGTAGGGGAAGCGCCACACGTTGCCCAGGCCCACGCAGAAGCCCACGCAGGTGAGCATGTACTGAGCCTTGTTGTCCCACTTGGGCCGGGAGCTGCTCTCCTGCTTCTCCAGGCTCTCCAGCTCGGCCAGCGTGGGGATCCGGGCCTCCAGGCCGGGGTTGGGCAGCAGCAGCCTGACCATGGCGGGCGCAGGTGGGTCCCTCAGGCGCGGCCGGAGCAGAGGGTAAGTGGCCACGGGCCGGAGCCCCAGCACTTTATAGGGAACCTTTGGCACCTCACCCCGAGCACCTGGGCCGAAAGGAAGCGTCAGCAGATCTGGAGGGCGAGTCCACCAGACTGTTAATGCCTTATCTGCAGAGGCGCCGTGGACCCTCCGGGCTGCTCCCTGGCGCTGCCGGCCCCTCCCCCTGTGCAAACGGCAAGGCAGCGGCTCAGGTGAGCCTCGCCCACCCCCACCCCCACCGCGCACACCGGACTCTCCGGGAAGAGGGACCCGATGGTAGGACAGCTGCCTGGCTCTGCAGGACTCGGGCTCTCCGCACCCTCGGAGCCCCGCCCACCGGCCACAGCCCCCCCTGCGGAGGACGGGAGGGGCCCTCTTTCCCCAGCTCTCGCTGCCAGCGCGGGGACGCGGGGCATCCTGACCGCCTTCCAGCTGGAGCCCTGGGTCCTGGCAGCAGCCCGCAGCCCTGTCCACACTGAGCTCGGTGCCGCCTGGCCTCTCCGGCCCGAGCTCTGGGCTCTAAATAGGTCCTCAGAGAGCGGGGCCACCGGCGCCCGGTGCCTAGAGCTGCTTCAGGTGGGGCCTCCAGGCTGGGTCCTCATCCCCACGGGCTCTCCTGGGGGCTCAGAGCCATTGCCCTGCCGCCCCCGCCCCTCCGCTGCCCCTCCCCCGCCCCCCAGCTGGAACCCTCCACCAGCTCCTATGTCTCTACGGGCAAAGGCCTCCGGCGCCTGCAGGCCCTGCCTGCCCTGCCGTGAGCTCTCACCTCGCCCCCCACCCCGGCCAAGGCCCCTACTGCTCCTCCAGCCCTGCCGCCCTCCGGGTGTCCAGGGGGCCATCCTCCCGCTTCGAGCGGGACACAGACTGCGGGTGGCCCTGCTCTCCATCCGCAGGAGCATCCTCTCCTGTGACAGGACGTGTGGCTTACTTAGCTCTCTGGCTGATTGCCTGGTCCCCCGTTCCCGGCTGCACTCTCCTCTCCCTGTCTCTTCACTCACATTTGCCCTAGCAACTTTTTATTACAAAACAATACATGCTTAGAGTAAGGAAAATTGGAGAGTTTACACCAGGAATTTTCTCACTGTTCTATACAGTTTTATGAATGTGTATGACACCCACTCACCCACTACTTGACGTGTCAGTGTCTGTGCATGATTTTTTTTTTTGCGGTACGCTGGCCTCTCACTGTTGTGGCCTCTCCCCTTGCGGAGCACAGGCTCCGGACGCGCAGGCTCAGCGGCCACGGCTCACGGGCCCAGCCGCTCTGCGGCGTGTGGGATCTTCCCGGACCGGGGCACGAACCCATGTCCCCCGCATCGGCAGGCAGCCTCTCAACCACTGCGCCACCAGGGAAGCCCCTGTGCATGATTTTTACTTAACATCATATCTTGAGAATGTTCCGTTCGTTAAGTTAAAACTTTTAAACTACATTTAGATTCTTCTTTATTTTATTTTATTAGCTCTGTGTTAAATTTTTCTTTCAAACGTCATTTTTGATGCGGAACGTCAAGCGTGCTCCGGGTGTCGGGCCTGCTGTCATTTACTACAGAAACTTTCCCTGACGTGGCGCACCTCTGCTGCTTCCGCCTTCTCCCTGTTATAAATATCGCTGTGATAAATGTATGTGAACACATGTCTTTTTGTTACTGGTTGACAGGTTGGTGAATTTTCGTAAAGTGGGCACATCCCTGTAACAATCACGCGGATCAAGACAGAACATCCCAGAACCCAGAGGCGCAGCCCACCCCCGCCCCCGGGCGCCGTCTGTCCTCCACCTGCAGCTCTGAAAGCACAGCTGGGTTTGCTCCGGAGGGCACCTCCCGCTCCCGGCTTCCCGGGCCAAGCGAGGTCCCTGGCTTCTTCGTGCCTCTGCCCCGCTGTCTTCTCGCGGGACGTGCCCGGTCCGTCAATCTGTCCTCAACCTGCGGGATAGCGTCTGGTTTGTGCCGTTTCCACGAGTGCCGCTCTGAAGCCCGTCCTCGCCTCCCGGTGCACTCGGGATGGTACCGGGGCGGATGACGCCCCCGGGGCATGCACTTGGCCCAGCCTGAGAAGACGCTGCAAAGCCGCTTCCGAGAGGACTGAGCCAGCTACCCGCAGGCCGGCCCCCGGGGGTGGTCCCCACTGTCACCAGTCACCAGCCTCCGGACCTTGTGGCCACAGTGACCCCGCTAAAGGCAGTGCACGGTGGCCTTAACCGGCGTTCCCCCCAGGCCTGTGACACCGCTGTCCTCCCGTGAAACCCATTCAATTGTCCTTTGCTGGTGGGATGGTGGCCCCGTCCCGCTAACCTCAAGGACCTGGTCATGCGCTCTGGGACCCAGAGTTTCCCAAGCCTCTTCCCGCTTAGCCTCTGGCCTCCTGTCCTCTCAGGGTGCCTCTGATGAGAAGAAGCTCCCATTACAATGTTGTCGGATCAGCTCACCTTTAAAAGACCTTGCCCACCTCAAGGTCATGAAGACACCGTCTCACATTTAATCCAGAAGCTTTAATGTTTTCCTGTGTGTTTAAGTCAGTGATCCTCTCGTCACGTGCTGTGTGCGGGCAGCTGTTGGCCAAGAGTCCTTCTTGGGGGTGGGGGGGGCAGGGGGACATGTCCAAACAACCTGTGGCACCTTTTACGCAGACTGTCACCCTTTCTCACTTCCTGCAGAGCTGCGCTTGCCATAAATGTTCGTACCTGTGGTCTGTTTCTTCACTTTCCACCGTGTTCCTTTGGTCTTTCTGTCCACTCTCTTCTCCAGGCACACAGCCTTCATTCCTGAAGATGTATTCCTGAAGGTCTTACGTCTTCCAAGTGTGTTCTTCAAGGATGCATACTTTGTGGGATAAGCTTGCCAATTTCCACAGAAAACCTGCTGGGATTTTGACTCAAGTGCATTCAATCTATAGATCAGTTTAAACGGGACCTTAACTATATTGAGTTTTTCAAACCGTAAGGGTAGTACATCCCTCCATTAATGTAGGTCTTCTTTTTCTCAGTAATGTTTTACAGTTTTTGTGGGTTTTTTGGCCACTCCACATTGCTTGTGGGATCTTGTAGTTCCCTGAACGGGGCTTGAACCTGCACCCTCAGCAGTGAAAATGCAGAGTCCTAACCACTGCACCACCAGGGAATTCATTTCATAGTTTTTTTCGTGTGGCGGTCTTGGAGATCTTCCATCACATTTATTCTTGCATTTGGCATTTTTGAACACTCTTGTGAATGGTATTTGTTCTTAATGTTTATCTTTTCATTGTGTATTGCTGGTACACATAACAACACAATTTTCATATCAAACTCTTTCTCTGACATTTTTTTTAATGTGCTGTTGGATTCTGTTTGCTAGTATTTTTTTTCACACACACTGTATTTTATGTTTACAAGAGATAAATCAGCTGTCACCAAGCATTGTAAATGGGCGACCACAACTGAAGCAACAATGATTGCAATTACCAAACACGAAACACACTCACACTATGTTTCTCTGACATGTTTAACCATTGCTTTTAAAAGACATTCTTGGGCTTCCCTGGTGGCGCAGTGGTTGAGGGTCCGCCTGCCGATGCAGGGGACGCGGGTTCGTGCCCCAGTCCGGGAAGATCCCACGTGCCGCGGAGCGGCTGGGCCTGTGAGCCATGGCCGCTGAGCCTGCGCGTCCGGAGCCTGTGCTCCACAATGGGAGGGGCCACAGCAGTGAGAGGCCTGCATATGGCAAAAAAAAAAAAAAAAAAAAAAAGATATTCTCAATAAAAAAAAGTATTTTTTTAAATTTATTTATTTGGCTGTGTCAGGTCTTAGTTGCAACACGCGGACTCTCAGTTGCGGCGTGTGGGATCTAGTTCCCTGACCAGGGATGGAACCCAGGCCCCCTGCATTGGGAGCGCAGAATCGCAGCCACAGAACCACCAGGGAAGGCCCATCAATACAAAGTTATGCCAACTGAGAACGACAGTTTTAATTCATCTTTTCCCATCCTTTTACCTTTTCCTCTTCTACTTTTCTCACCTCAGTACGTCGTGTCCAGCACTGCACACAGCTGGTAACAGGAGCAGCCGGCTTCGTTTCCCATCTTGGGAGAAGTTTTCAGCATTTCGCAGCTCGGACCATTGAGTGCGGCGGAGGTTTTTGTAGAGACTCTTGTCCGGTTAAGGGCGCTGCCTCCTGCTCCGCGCGCGCTCAGAGGCCGCTGCCTCCTGCTCCGCGCGCGCTCAGAGGCCCTTGCACTTTGCCGTGACAGCGTTGCTGAGGCGGGATTCTCACAAATGACAATTCACTCCCTTTAGCGTATTCACAGCGCTGTGCACCCGTCACAACAGCAGAGGTCAGAGCGTTCCGTCACTCCCAGAAGAAACCCGGCCTTCAGCCGCTCCCCTGGTCACCCTTGAGGGGCCCTTTTTCTTTTAAAGATCGGCTATAAACTCCTTTTCCTTTGTTCCCTTAAGGTGGTGAACATACAGCTTGATTTTTAACTTTGAAACAACCTCGCATTCCTGGGATGACCCCAGGTTTCCCAGGAATTATTTGTACCCCTGGCTGCAGTTTGCCGCAGGTTAGCCCAGAGGTTTCACAGCTACGTTCCTTTCCAGAGGAGTCAGTCCAGAATCCCAGTTGCTCACGGGCTCTGGTTCCTCCACCCCCAGAGCAGACGCGGGTCACAAACCACCCCTTCCTCCTGCCAAGACGAAGACGGGCAGCCTACTCTCCGCACTTTCACCAACCGTGGGGATTCGTGTCCTTAATCTCTGCCAATTTCATAAGCTTTTTAAAATGTGCTTGAAACGGACCAGATGGTTTGTTGACGCCTTTATAAAGTGGGTCCCACCCTGATCAATTTCGCATCTTTTCTATCAGGTTCTATCTCAATGGGGCTGGTGGCCAGCTTCCTATTTCTCTTCCAGTTGTGTTAAGAGGACGCCCACCCTTCAAATCCTCGGGAAAAGGAGCCGAGCTGTGCCGTCTCCCTGGGCCGGGCAGGACGGCGCCCG